AGACCGTGCATGGACGAGGACTCGCACCTTCCTGCTTTGGGAGTCAGCTATGACAGTCTAGCAGCAAGAGAGCCCAAAAGCTTCATTTTCTCCTAGCTGCCRTGCTCAAAGAGAGTGCTTAAAAGCACCAAGGACTCCGACAGGTTTGTATGCTGTGGAGATGGACTGGTTTTAGTTAATGYGGTCTTGGATCACTCGGACAAGCCAATTGGACCCATCTAACAACTGGGAAGTGTATCAAGCACAGCTGCAGGCCACAGATCATGGGTGGTCACTGACCAAGTGCTATCCACGAGACCTTGTTGTTCTTGCTCACAGATTGGGGAAATCTGCAATTAAATAGCTGCTGAAATAATATGGAAATGAGGAAGGTAATTGGAAGTTTCAACAGAAATGTTAAAGCACCATGATGGTCTTGACTAATCAAATTTACCTAACCTGTCTTTACTGACAAAATATCATCTAAAGTTTTTGGATTTTTTTTGTGTAATTTTATTTAAATTCATGGCATCTCTTGCTTTTTCATGGGAAAAAAAAATCTGATGTTTATTTTAATTCTCTGGTATTTATATTACAACTGGGGGCTTGTGCAAGTCTCGAGAAAAGCATTTCCTTGCCCCACAGCATCACAGCTGATGAGATGCAGCAGATGGGTAAGATAAAGATGGGGTGTAGGTTGGGACAGACAGGCTGACAAAAAATGACAGTGTGCACAGTTTTAGCTGCCCAAGAGCAGCAATTGCCCTGTGCCCGCCTCCCTAATCAGGGTTAGATGCCAATTTTCTCCCTGGCACAGCAGAGGCGAGGTTCAAAGCTGTGATTTGCAGGAGGCCATGGGGAGCAGCAGTCTTTTCCTGCTCTCAGGAAGTTTCGCCAGGCAGGACCGATTGCTCCCTGCACCAAACTGTGCAAGAATGTTCCCTCTTCCCACAGCGCCGTGAAAAAATGTTCTGGCTTCAGTTCATGTGTGAAACCTTTTGCACAACAGAAGTGGTTTCTTGTGGCCAGTAAGACTAAATGTTCTAAGCATTCCAGGAAGTGTATAAATAGATTGGTGCCTTCCCTAAGGTTAGGGAGCCTTATTTCCTTCTTYTGCCTTTTTCTTTTTTTCTCTCTTCARCTAGGCAGAGACCAAGCGGAGGCCAGTGTTTGCAAGTCCCGACTATCATTTTCCATTTTATTTGGGTTTTCCTTAGTTATGTTTTCTGAAGAATAGTTATTTTAAGTAAATGCAACATGGTAAATGATATTAAATTACTTCTTACAGTACAGCCTAGGATTATAACATGAAAATTGTTGCTTGGAGTCTCCCACGCCCCCGGCTGCTGCAGGCCGATGTCTCCAGACTGGGGAGGCTGCAGGCCAGTCTGCACTGTGGACCCCTCGGTCCCCATAGATACAGAAGGGTTGTAATAATGGTCAAAAATAACTAAAACCGTGGTTAGATACTGGAAGGTAGACAAATATCTGTGCACAAACCAGAAGAGAAATTATGCCAAAAAATATTGAATCTCAGTTCATCTGTGGATCCTACGGAACAGCCATCCTTCCCTTTGATCTCTGCTATTTGAGTCTGCACATGTGTTAGACGTATATATTGGGCATCAGCATTGTCTTCTCTAGAATAAGGGTAAACATTGCATTTGTCTCTGTAAAAATATACTTCAATTGCTGGGAAGAAAGTGGAGATTCATTATTTTTGCAGTTGTACAAGACGTTTAGCAGCTGTGTTTATACTGGCAGACAATTTGGATATTAGGTGGCAGGACAGAGAACTGCAGATGCACAATATTGAGCAGACATTGTGCACTTACAGCCCATTTCCAGGGAAACATGTTATTTTATATTTCCCTTGGTGTCATTAATCACATTTTGTGATGTATCCCACTATTTCAACTTGTTCCCGTAGATTCATTCATTTTTCAGCCTGTTTATTTAGTAGCCATTGAGCTCCATTTCAACCAATTCCATCTCAGCAACAAATAATAAAGTTCCTTTGGCTTCAGGGCAGAAAATTAAGACGGACCTGTACTGATTACTGACACTACCTGTGATAATCAGCATCAGAGCGATATTTAGCTTGCTTTCGCTCAGAAAGATAGCCATGCTGTTCTTGGCTATTCAGAAATTAAATTCATTTCCTGAAAGTGATTCTTATCTTGGCCTGCCAGGGAAAACAGCTGCTCTTTTCCTTGCTCTGGAAGTTCTCAGCAGGCTTTGTGGTGGGTTTGCAGGTGAGTCCCTAAAACTTGCAGCCATGCTGGCCCGTCCCCTTGGAGAAAGGCCTTCATTTGTGAGCCTGAGAAAGCTCGATATTACTGGGAAGAATCCGATGCAAGAAGGGGGGGGGTGGGAAGGCATTTTACCAAGCTGTAAAAGAGAAGCCAAAGTGGAGAATTCACACATAGCGATGCAGTGGCTGTGCGTGAGGCAAGCCTGAGCCAAGCGGTTGCGATCGGCAGCCTGCCTGGAGAAGCCACAAGCCCTGCCCACTGCCCCTTTCTGGGCCCGGTTTAGAAATCTAAATATAGCCATGAAGTATTTTTCTTCAGGCTAACAGAAAGCGGAGGGAAACGGAGCCGGGTTTGAGCCGCGCCTCGGGCAGCGCCGCTTGCTTCCACGCTGTGTTTTAGGGACAGAGGCTCCGGCCGCTGCGGCGAGAGCGGCAACCAGGGGCCCTGGCGGCTGCTCATGCCCCGCGGCGCCCCACAACCTGATTTGAGGCTCCGTCCTCGGTGATGTCCACAGAACTATTTTCAGAATATGGACCTTTAATCTTGAAGTTCACTCTCAGGAAAGGCATGGGGTTTGCATTTGGGAGGAGAGAACTTGGGTAATCATGTATTTGTGTCTAGAAATATATGTGTGTGTGTGTGTATATATATATGTGTATATATATATGTATATATACATATATACGTGTGTGTGTGTATATATATATGTATTACCGTATATGTTTGAAGTAGCCTGCACAAAGCACATTAGGAACTGGTGGCAGAACTAAGAAATGAATACAGCTCTGGGGAGCTGGATGGAAGTGCCTTAGTCAAGTCATTTATGCAAAGAAAATAAAACGTCACTAGTATTGGTGGTTTTGCGGACTCCATAGTTTTACTTTTTCTAAAATACTTGCTCTTTCCCTGCTATTTTCCTTGGTCAGTTTTATTTCTTTCTCTTCCATCCAGGTGCAGCTCTTTTACATGGCGGTGGTTGTGCTGTGCATGTTTAACCCAGCMTTGCAGACTGGAGCAAGGCTGGAAGTATATTCACCTGTCAGCATCCGCCCCAGGTGGCCGGTATGCATTTGTTGTACACAATATAATTTAGAGATGTGTTAAATGACCTCTAAATGTCTTGGACTAAGAACATAGAACAGCATAGAACAGATTAATGAGTTATCCTCTAGGAGGTCTGTCAATATGTGCCGCGTTCCCCATTCCCTTCAGATATGTTGGTCCTTTTTCTTTCTCTCTCCACMCATACCCCCAGGTTTCTCTGCAGGGCACTTGTCTTTCTGCTGCCGTTAGCTCAATTGCCCAGATCAGGCTCAGTTTTCCTCTACCTCCAGTCTACTACTTAGCACAGCCTCCTCCAGCCTTTCCTTACATGCCAAGCTGAGTACCTCATTGAGGAGGCTGAGGGAAGGGAAGGAGGGCTGTCTGACCTGGCCTGGCTTTGCCCACTAGTCCCAATAATCCTTCCCTAAGACATCCTTTTCTCTYCATCTTTCCCCTTCCCTTACAGAGCCATTCATGAAAACACCCTGGTGACAGAGCTGCAGCTTATGCTGGTGCAGTGGAGAAGGACTCACCAAGCTGCCAGTGGAGCAACCTCATCACTTACACATGGTCRTAGGGTGGCAAGAACCTGTGCTCCTCATGTGGATGGAGCAGGCAAGTTGTTGTGCACCATAGGAAAGAAGCAAATTAGATCTCTTGCCAGAGATTTTTTTTTTAAATACAAGGGACTTTCTTTCCAATTCTTAGAGTACTTACGGGAGAGGATGGAGGAAGGGAGGGAGCCCAAGAGGGGAGTCCTTCTCTATATCAGCTACTCTCTCATGCTCTGGTTGGTCAAAGCCTCCAAGAAAATGCTACAGCAATGGTGCAAAAGGTTAAGAAACAGGCTGGTACCTTTGTTGCAGCATTTGTGGACTTTCCCAACCTACAGGGATCTTCTGGAGCAAAACAACCAGCCAGCRTAAGTGCCTAGTCTGGCTCCACAGTTATTGATTTCCCTTTACTGCCTTTTAGTTGGACAAAAAAAAAAAAAAAGAACCTCAAATTCCTGCTATCAGCCACTTCTGGGTCTTACTGAGCAGCAGAAAAATTTGAAACACTTGCATTTCCTTCCCTCTTCCATGCAAATACCACGAGAGGGCAAGGAAGAGGCAGAGAGGGATACCCTGCTCCATCTTGCATGACATAGGAGATTGGAGTAGGAAATTTCCCCCACCCCAAGTAGACACAGATAATTTTTTTTGCATGATTCCCTCAGGATAATACAACTTCCCACTGAGCCTAAAGCTTTGTATGCCTAAATGGCACAGAAAGGAAAATGTGGATTCTCTACTTAACAAAAATCAAAGAATATCTTATGGTAGACACATTCTGGTTATGAGGCTTGAAATGAATTGTGTATGTTCATATATGTGCAAATACACTGTAATATTTTTCATTCAGAGTTCAAAGAGTGACACTGAGACTGAGCTACCAAGGTAATCATCCAGATCTGCTGTTGGTACTTCCATGAGTAACTCCTATAAGCCTGCCCCTATATTTTATGTATACATCCTAAGTATATATCCATATGTTTATGTAATTTTGCTGAGGTAAGATGGTATAATCAGTTCCCTCTAATAGCCAAAAGACAGCCCCAAGTGTGCTGTTTTTTAATTGGCTTCTGAGGATGTGACCCAATTATCTGCAGTTGCAGGTTATATCCAACACCTGCATCGTTTGAGTTGGTGCAATACAAGGAGGCCAGCAGGAGCTGATGTTGAAGTGTGTGAAGGGATGCTGCTGGGATTGGAAGGTGATGACTCAAAGCAGTAAGTTTGATAAAACTTGACTTTGGTGCATACCCCTCCARGGACCCACAGGGGAGGGAAGGAGTTGCCCAAGGTGGTCTCTTGTGTGGATCATCTCCCACAGCTCTGATGTGGAGCGAGAGAGGGGGAGGGAGGAGCGAGACTCGGGCGCTTGGAAGGGAGCTGTGGTTGAAGCAGTGGCTTTGGACRCTGCCCGACTGGCTTCATTTTCCATCCCTGTGTAAGACAGTGTGACACGTCTCCTTAGCATTCAGGAAACACGTGGGGCGTGGTGCCTGAAAGCAGCTCTTTTGCTGCACTCCACTGTGACTAAAAACATCGGTGTTGCTGAGAGGGGAAGAGGCTCCCTTCCCTTGCTCTGCTGAGCCCATGCCATCCTCCAGGTCCATGTATCAGTGCTCATGGCCAGCCAGGCTCATGGGCCACAGCCTCGTTTGGCACCTCTTGGCAGCACCTGGTTATACTCCAAAAGCAAATGATTTTGGAAGCATTGTTGTTTGATTCCCAGAGGCAATGTGATCKTGTTGGACTGTTGGAGTTGGCTTCTGCTTGCCTGTGGAGCCAGTTTGCAGGTGATCTACCAGTTAATTTCATGGCTGATTGCAATATCTGTTGAAACTTTTATAGACCCCATTTAGTCCCTGGGACCAGGGCCCTGGTTATGCTGCAACCTAAAAGGCTCCATCGTCCAACTGGGACTTTCTCACTATCTGATTACAAGGGATAGAGACAAAGGCTGCTCTTGAATAATACATAAAATCTATTTAATATTAATCCTGTTGTAATATTTAATTCCAGAAACATATCTGGAAGCAAATATTAATGCATGAGGTTATTTGAAATTATTAAAACWATTTCTATTAAACTTAGTAGAACTGTTAACTATTATTATTTGAATTTACAATGGCTACTCTTGAAAATTATTGATATATTACCTAGTGTTACTTCATTGAGAAAGTTGCACTCATGTTCAACATTGAATTGTCTTTAGCTRCTGCCTCTAAAAAGTTCTTTGGCAGGGAAACCATAGGAAACCATGCGGAAAAGAGTTGAACACCTTAATTAWCAAATCACATCAGCTACTGCAATTAGAAGTATTTAATCAAGTGATAAAACAGGCCTGTTCAAATATTAGTTAGTGATTTTTCTTGCCACCCAGAGTTGAACTGATGAAACATCTGAATGTTGTTGCTGTGGTTGAACTGGAGAAACTTAAAAATCTGGACATGTCTGAACGTGCCCAATGCAAACTCTGGCAATCGCATTCAAATGCCAGAGCAGAAAATAGCACTGGGGCTTTTTCTTTCTTGCCTTTCTGGTTTTGAGCAACTAGTGGGAGGAAAAAATGTCTTCATCTGTAGGAAAACTTAAGCAAAAAAAAAAGCGAACATGTTGCCTTTAACCCTCTGACGACAAGTTTATAATTATACCTTCAATTATAGCTGTAGGAAGGACCCTCCATCTTTGCACCCTCCTGTCCTCAGTGTCGGTGCTTAGGGCTTTTCCATGTCTTTACGCACTGAGTGGGACTTGCARGAGGGGAGCAGGGCAGGTGGGATGGGAGCAAGGAGCATAGCTCCAGGGTTGGCAGTCACCAGCAGGGAGAAAGGAGAAAACTTAGTTCTGCTCTGTCTTCCACAGGGTATCTGGACCTTTTAAGGCTAAAGATAGCAAGATTAAAACTAGAAATATCCAAACTTTAAAAAAAGACTCAGAGAGATTTGGGGGAGGCATAGTCACTTAAAATCTCCGTAGCTATTTTTTGTTTTATCATATTTTGTCTATCTTAATCATGAATATTTGTCTGCTTAAATATAGGGAGCTTCTGTGTGATCAGCATTGCAAGTATTTCATTGGGATCTTTAAAACCTGCACAAATTCATGACAGAWTGCAGTCTCCATGGATTTACATGTGCAATCAACTTCCAGTTATTTAACTAGTGTCTTAGCAACTGCATCTTTTAGCAATACACATAGCAAATCACAGTTCCATTTAATAAAATGAACTTCTATTAATCACTTCCAAAGTCCATTTAAATAAGCATCATATATTCCTTAAAAGCAGGAGTATGTCATAAACGACTAGGTAATCATTGTGAATGCCTAATTCTGGGTAAAGCACAGTACAGGGCTTACAGTACATGTTTTAAGATATAACAATAAAAAGTTAATTGAAATACTTTTACAACGCTCCCATAATTCTTGACCTGCAGTATTTATTATAGACCCACAAACAGCAAATATCATATAAATTAGAGATTGAACATGCCTTTAATAACATAAATGGCAAGATTGTAATATGTTTTTATCCAGTATCCTTTAATGGATAATGAATTTATTTCCAGCAACATATTTTCTTATGACATATTAATATATCACTTCATTGACTGCCACATAGTTTGCAAATTAATTCAGCCTTGTTTCTTGTGTATTAAATAATACTTCGTATTATTTAGGGCTTGACTACACAGGCATTTAACTTGTTCCAAGCGAGGTAGGACTGACTTTAAATGATCCAAATTCACACAGTGYGTTTCTGTCTCATGAAGCATAATCACTGTGCTCTTATTTCTGTTGGACACACAGAAAGGACACACAGGAGGTTTTTTTGATGCACAGTAATATTCAATGTAGTTGCAAACGGTTTAGTTGTTTTCTAGTGCCTTCCCAACCTGTTTGCACCTATGTTAGCCAGTTTTACCTTGCTCTGCATTAGTACTTGYTTCCTAATTAGTATTAGCTTATATTAGGTGCTGCTTTGGTGCTTAATGGTGTAATGACCAGCCAGATTCAAGTCTCTTCAGAGTCACCACGAAGAGCAGAGCTGAGTGAGGAGATGTGTGGGGTGCATATGAGAATATCTTGCAGAATGCATGAGCTGCCATTAGCTATTCGTGCAAGCTCCTAATTAGACCGTGGAAGATAAGTACATTAATTAATGAAGCCATATTCCCCAGCCTCTGACAACATTGATGTTTGCCTGTTTGCAGGTATGTTCTCATGTTTTTATGCCATGTGTTATTTCTTCCATGTTGAAGATGGGCTTGAATGGATAAACCATGGTTCTGTCTTCTGGTTTGGATTTTGGGCCAGATTTGATGATTTGGAAGATTTCATTTGTGCATTAAAATATTTAGGTTAATTTTTCCTTTTGTGGTATTGCCCCATTCAGACATTGCTCAGCTGAARCACCATTCTTTAAAAGCTCCCCAGGAGGATGGGCCAGGCAAGTCCTAGCTTCACTGGTGGTGATTAAGGGTGGGAGTCACACTGGGAAAGAATGACTAACTGCTATGATTGAGACCTGACATTTCTCCTGGATGATGGATCTGTTATCTCCATAATGAGCATGTTTCAGTGAAATGACCCAATTTTAGAAGTTTAGAACATTTTCCTAAATTTAGTTAGCTTTTACAGGAAGCTTATGCCTACAAATCTGCAGGACTTTGGTAAAAGGATTTCTGAAGTGGGGGGGACTCAGTAAGAGCTACCTGGCAGTCCCCAAGGATGGAGATACAGAGGAGCATCCTGCAGGAGGAGTAGGATTTCCTGCTTGGAATCTATAAAGACCCATTAGATGAGTTGGTGCTGAAGGCAGGAGCAAGTCAGTGGTGGCAAAGGAGGATTCTGAGGAGGTCAGGGGCTGACAACGTGCTTCACAGAAAGGGAAGTTAATGCCAGATGAAGCCTCAAGTTGGTCTTTTGTCAGTAATTAATATGGTCATTACAACTAATAGTTTTTATGAGCTGGGAGAGCTGGCTCACTTGTGTAGGCTAATTGCACAATATTTAGCAATTTTTATGCTGATAGAGGTTAATAGTTGGACATCTCCCAGAATCCAGGGGATAACAAGAATACAAATGAGGGTCATAATCTAACTGGGTAGTAGATAACCATAGATCTTATAGAAGTATAGGAAACTAAAGGTATTTTTAACAGAGATAAGGTACCTTACATGATTTTAAATAGCTATGGTTTGTTATTTTCTGCAGCCACAAAAACACTTTACCTCAAACAAGTCTAACCTAAGTGGAACCTTAGCTGCTGTCTTCTGAAGAGCAGGTTTGGTCCCTGATTTYGGGAATGAGAGGTCACAGCTAACGCCCTCGGAAGAGGCAAGGAAGGTCCCACGGGCCTGTCGGAGCACAGACTGCTCCTGCCATGGTGCCTGGATCAGATCAGGGAGGGAAGGGGAGAGGCACTGCAGCCTGTGGCTGTTGCTGTGAGCAGAAGAGCCCCCCCAAATTGCCGTCAGTGCCACCTGACAACTGAGTGAGACCTCCCAAGCACACCTGTACTAATGAGGATCCCTCTCCATTCCCCACCTTTTTATCCTTTTTGTAAGGAGAGACGGGGGGGGGGGAGAAAGAAAGAAGAAAGAACATTCAGCTTATTCTCCAAAGTTCTCCTTTCTTTCCTAAGAATAAAGTCATTCATGATGTAGTAGTTTATTAAAGCAGTGAAGTAAGTTCTGTTCTAATATAAATTGGTCCTGCCCTATTAGCAATATAACTCCTATTTTCTCGTACTTTCGGGCTGTAAAAATTCTTTTTTTGTTTGTTTGTTTCATGAGAATTCTTATCGCCGTATGCTTAAAAAAAAAGAAGAAAAGGAACAAACCTTTATATTGTCTTGGCTTCAGGTTAACAGAGCAAACAAAAATTCATAATGGAACCTAATAAGGAAACTCTTTGTATTCTTTGTGTAGGTTAGATGTGTGGAAGGTAAGGAAAATCTTTGTGTAGGTTAGATGAACCTGAAGGTTCCTCTAAGTGAATTGATGCTTTCTGTCCTTTTCAACTCACCCGTCTGTTTTTTATGATGAATATAATTTTAATTATGTTGTCCATAATAATCAGTTGATCCAGAAATGTTCTGTCTGCAGATGCTYCTATTATTCTTACTCTAGGCGAGGTCTTAGTTTTGAAGACCCATGTTGTAGCAGGGCAGTTTGTTTGAGCCCAGCTTTAAGGCCACTGCACTACTAGGAAGTGCTGAGCCTTGAAATATTTTGTTTTGCTGCTAGGAGCTACGCGCCATTCCAGAAATGTCTGTGGTCCCTGGGTGCTGCAACAGCAGTGTTCCAGGTTCTGCCTGCTAGCCCACATTTTAAAGTGGTAAAACAACTCCCACGTTTTATTCAGAGTGAGTTTAAAGTTTTGTATTCAGAGTTTAAAGAATCCTTAACCTACCGTTGGATTTTTTTTTCCTATGATTTGATTCATTATGTTGCTGCATATATGACTGATTCATAGATCCTTCTGATCTGAATCGTGCTCTTTTCTATGTGCATTTGTCTTTCTGTAAGAAAATTTGAAGGCCTTAAAAATGTGTCTGGAAAGCACAGAAGCACAATATCTCTAGAAAAACAGTTAGAGGTGATTCCAGAGAGATTTGAAGGAGCAAAGCAGTTGCTTTTCCATTTTATTTCTCTGAAATTCTTAAGTGTTTGTGTATTGCAGTTGAATATTTTGTATTGTGTACAGAGTATCAGTTTTGAAAAAAGCAGTGTGTGTGTGTGATGGTGACAGAATCACTGCCAGATTTAAAAATAAACCCAGCAGCGGCAGCAGCAAAACGCTCTCCCTTGCAATTTGTCTCCCTACCCTGGCATTCCTTGTGTATTGTCAGTTATCATCCTTCACAACTAGATAACTATAAAGTGGATTTTATGAGARCCTAATGTGATTCTGCAGGCACTGACAACCCTGTGGCGTACGTCCCGCAGCCCGCTCGCCGCGCGGCCCGGGGAGCTGCACTAAGCTCTGTGGCAGCTTTCCCCAGTCTCCTTACGTGACCTTGCGCAAGGCCAAGAATGTCTGAGGTCAGAGGGAACATAAATATTCATTTCTACATGACTCATTCCCAGTACTTCAYTAGGCAAATTCTAGAATAATTCTAGTTAACCAGCACTGAAAACATTTTGGACATTGATCATTAATGTTTTGTGTGTTGGCTTGGCAAAACCATTTTTTCCCCACGCTTTTGCTACCAGAAAACAAAACTTTGATCAGAGTGCCCTCTACAGAAAGCGCAGTCCTCTTTAGTTTTCTTGTTTTGATACCTAGAGTTTATTGTTGGTRATAAACAAGAATTGATGAGAGATGTGTCACAGTAACAAACTCATCTGCAGCTTCCAGGGGTGGGGAAGGAAGACTAGTAGTTATTTTCCAAAGTATTTGAAGTACCTGTTTTGGAGGAAATGTTTTTAAGAGGGCATCCCCYGCAGGAAATGTCCTTAAAATGCAGCTACTTGGCTGTTCCTGTGGCTGGAATAGCCATGAAGACCTGTGGGCCCTGCTTGTTGCGATACCCCAATGCTRTATGCTCCTCGGGTTAACAGTTTTCCATTGGAGAATGCCAATGCAGGCAAATGTACAAAAGTGCAAGTTTTTGTGGGACTTGGTAAATCTGTGGAAGGAGAGAATACAGTTTCTGATAGTAGACACATTTTCCTGATACTTATGGATGATTTGGGAAACATTTGTCTAAAAATGAATCATTTGATGTGAAAAAAAAAAATTAAAAACTATATAACTTCTTAATTTCTTTTTTTTTTTTTTTTTGGTGGTAAAATGTCAAAAATGCAACTTTCTGACTTGCTCCCAATGTTTTCCCTACAGACTACCTGTTTTTATGGCATGCTCGAGGATTCCCAGTCCCCCCAGCTCAAAAGGGGCAGGAAGTTTCTCAGAGTTTGTTGCCTTTCCTATTTTCTTTGGCCTGGGAGCCGTGTAAGCGTGTTTAAGGCATGCCAGATTCCGGCTTCACCAGAAATACTTACCCAAAAAGCATCAGAGAAAGCATTTAATATTTTCATTATGAATGTGGCCARTTTGAAAGTTTTGAGAAATTGCATTGTTCAGTTGAGTTCTTTTATTTATTGGGGGAAGGGGAAGGTTGTTTCTTTCCCACACAAATGGAAATACTCCGTGGTCAAATCTCTGAGCCTGCAATTATGCAAATGCAGGATTTCTCATGAGCTCATCAGCCGGGGCAGAATAAACTGAGCTGAAATAGATGACCTTCCTTCAGACAGCCCATAAACCATTCTGCAGGGATTTTCATCTGTGGAGACTCAGGCTGAGTAAAAGCACAGAGTATCTTCTCAATGATCGGAGTCGTTTCCGTATTTTAAAAACGAAAGTTGTTATTGTTAGAAAATTTGGTCAAACTGCATGAAAGATTGTTTGGATGTTTGGAGCTCTGTTTCTTTAGGCCTAATTAAGAGGTCCTTTTGGTGCCATGCTGAGCATCCTCAATCCGCATTCAATTAAGTTGTAGCTGATGGTATTTGGCAACCAAAATGAAGACTGCAGAGATTCTGTATCTGTTGAATAATACGTTTTTTTTCCCCTCCCATGCACTGTAGTTATGAAAACAGGACACCATAACATTTTAGGTAACATTGTTTTTATTCAATAAGGGAGTTTTTGAACTACATTTATGAAAGATTTAGATGAATATATAATTCAGTGTAATCTTACTAATCTTACAAAAACTCCTTTTTTTAAGGACAGCCTGGCTGCTTGACTTATATTTTCTTTGAAAGACGACTTCATTTTTTGGAAGCTCACTGTTATTTTCACAGATTTTCACAGTATATTTCTAGGCATGGGCCCATTTCACCACCCGTGTTCCTAGATTGATTTGTTTTAGAACCAGTATTATAAGCATATAGAGGAGAAATCTAAGGTCAAGTTTAAATGGAAGGATGGTACTGTTCTTCCAGGAACTATAAGACATTACAGCAGTGGAAACAGAGCCAAATGGCCTCCTTATAGTTGATCTTCTACATGTAGCTAAATCTGCTACAGATTTCTTAAATCATGTTCCCACACTGTATCCCTATCATAAATTTTTTCTTATAGCACGTTTACTGTATGAGGGATGTATTTTGCAGAAGTGGGCTCTTTCTGTCTTTCAGATTAAAAATAATTCCTGGTATCTCATGGAGGGCTCAGTTGCAACGACGCCTGTTTATTCATAAGTCTAAATTCCTGCTTCTTTTTATGGTTAGGCTTGTAGCTATAATATGACAACAGCAAAAATATTACAAAGCATCRTTTTAATGCTTGCAAAATCAGCCCTTTTTTCTTTTGTTTCTTCTGAGAATGCTGGGCAAATAAGTCATTTTTAAAATACATTATAATTAAGTGGCCAAGTTTCGTAATGTCCCTGCCTACTTATCTTTTAGTCAAATAAATAGAACCTGGAATTATATATATCTTGCAGTTGGGCATTAGAAAAATTATATATGCAAAATCTGGACATAAGAGTTGGGACAGTAAATAGAGGAAGAAGAAAATATTCTCATAATTTAGCTCAAAACATCAACCTTCATACTACCATTGTGAGTCCTAAGGCATAAGTTATACTAAATAAGAGATTTCTTCAGGAAAACCTCTTTTCGCTCTGAGCATGCAAGGAGAATTCCAGGGAGGTGTCCTTCTCTGTTGATTTTCAAGGATATATCTTTTCTGACATATTTAAGAATTTAGAGCCTGGAACACCTGAGTCTTTTTAGATTTTTGCTTTTAACTTTGTAATAATGTAGGATGGAAGCAAACATGCACTGAGTTAAAAGCATCTATTCATATTTAACATATTTTTCTTTTTGACTGGGACTATTTTCTAATGACATTAAAATGACCTTTGTCTTATGGTTTTCTCTTTTTCCTTCCCTGAATACTTGAAAATATCAGCTCAGAAGACATCATATTTTTCCCCATAATTTAAATTAAATCTAAATAATATATAAGTAGTTTTATATTTACCTTTTAAATTAAAGTTATATTCTTGGCAGCAGGAATTAAGGAGCTGGCTGCTGGAAAGAAAAAAAAAACAAAACCCAGCTTCTTCCTTCCCTTGTTTTGTCCTAGCTCCTTCCTTCCTGTGCCAACAATCACAATTTCTTCTTCAAAGGGAACATGCCTTGAGTCAGAAAAGCCTGACTTTTCAGTTTTTCTCTAGCCGTGAGCAAGCTGCAGCACATCGAGCARTTCTCCTGCTTGCTGGACTCCTTAGGAAGCTTCTGAGACGCTATGATGTGTGCCAACACGGTTCCCTAAATTGCATCCTCACTAGTCTAAGCAAGAGAGAATCCATTGAAACGTTTTCTTTTGTTGATCTTTCAGAATTTTGGAATCAATTTAGAATTGAAAGACCAGCATAACTAGTTTCCTTTTTGCAAAAACTAAGAATGGTATGATCCAAATACGTAGAATTCATTGCATAGATGCAGATCAGTTCCATACATGCAGCAGGTTAATATACCTGCTAAGTGTCAGACTTACGGTTCATAGTTCTGTGTGGCATGTATGGTGAGTCTGCCTACTCTCCAAACAGGCAGGAATTCACAAATAATTGGAGCAGGATCATGCTTTATCATGAAAATTCCCAGGATTGGCAGGCCTGTATAATTTGCAATTAAAGCTGATGTCTCCCTCTTTCTCCCTTCCTCTTAGGTACCCCAAAGATGTGAGCCTGGACCTTAACCTCATGAACATCCTCTGCAGGCCTAAAGCACCGATGTGATGGTAGGACTGGAGCCATGGGTTGTCTTCCTAAGGCAGCTTTGTCAAATCACAGATCATTGTACTGCTCATCTTTTACTGGAGGGGAGGATAAAATCCGCCCATTTCCCTCTTACTTTTTTTTTTTTTTTTTTTTTTTTTGTAATTTTAGGCATTATCTTTGAGTCAATGTCACGAACTAAATTAAAGAGCAAAGAAAGATGAGGAATACCTACAATATTTACAGAAATAGGAAAGAAAGATGAGGAATAGCTACAATATTTGCATATGTGAATAGTTAATTGGGAAGGTAACTTTTTTCCTGCCCCTGACTTTTAATTTAGTTGTTAAATTTTATTCACTTCTGGGTTTGAAGTATCTGAGTTGCACACAATGGGAACTTTACAGATTCATAAGGCAGCCAGATGATTACTGGTTAAAACATAGACACAAAATTCTTTCTCATTCCTGAAAGACAGGATTCTTCTTCCCCAGTTTAAATGTCAGRTCCTTTTTTTCCTGCTTTTTTGGGTCACAAATAGTGATTTAAAAAAAAAAAAAAGTTGTAAGCTAGGTTAGGTATGAAGTTTCTTCCTTTTCTGCTTTTCATATCAACATGAACCTCTGACAATATCAATTTGGATGCGAAGGGGAGTGGGATTTGGACTTGCACTAGCGGCACAGACGGTGTGTGTCGAGCTGAGGAAGTGCACACAGGGATGCCTGGCAGCCGCTCGCGCTCTCACGCGCTCCTTAACCCAAAATGAAATGATCTAGGGATGTTCCTTTTCAAGACATAGGTAGACAAAGACAAAGCAAAAAGTGAAAATTATGGTAGAAATGTGTGGGCTGGCTGGCAGGAAATAAACAGAAATGCTGATTTTTACATTTTCTAGTTCTCTGACTCTTTTTGCACCCAGCACTGGACAACTTGCTGGGAAAATGGGATTGCTAGCACTAATGAGTCAAATATTTGTGAGGAATGCCAATTATATAACCACTCAGAGGCTGAAAGAGCACATTTCTTTCAACTGTGCTGCAGAGATGGGTTGGTTAAACAATAATAGTAATTAGTATAATTTGCTAAAAAATAGCATTCATCCACTAGTGCATTTCAGATCAGCAGAAGTTTGAAATAGGCATTGCAGCATTACCCTACAATCACAAGCCTCTAAATAAATAGTAAACAACTGTATTCCACTTTTGATAAGTTGGAAAGCCAAAGCAGAAAACCATGGAGCTGGCCACACTCTTAACTGCTGAAGGCAGTTGCAGAGAAACAAGGCAGGACCCGTGTCTTATTATTTGTGCTGTGGCAATGCTCAGCAGCTCTGCTCCTGGGACAGCTCTCCCACTGAAAACACATTAGAAATATGAGTAATATTATGTGATGCACAGAATAAGTGAATAGTTCTCAGCACACTTAAATAAACATTTCTTTGAAAATTTGAGTCTTAGAGGGGCAGCTGATGGCAGGAAGCTATTTTTCCTATCAACTTGCTTTATTTTATTCTCTACATACAGGCTACTATAGCTTATGACATATGGTCCACTTAAATTAGTCAGGCAGTAGAAACCTTGCTCATTCTTCTCCGTGTGTGAAGCCAAGATGCCTATTAATAGGAAAAGCCTTGCCCTGGAAGAATGTGCATGCAGCAGTCAGTCTCTGCATGGAGGAAATGAAGGATATGATACTATTGGGAATAAAATGAGTTTCTTATGTATTACAGCTAGAACCACTCTAACCTAATACTGTTCTGAACAAAGTGGAAAAGTGCTGGTAAATCTGTATGTTTAGGAGGTGGTATGCATAATGACTTGATGTCTGTATTATCCAGCACGCTGACTTTCCAATGTCATCTCCAAGTCTTTATGGACAACCTCTGTCATGCTACCAGAGCCCAGAGAGGGGCATAAACCAAGACCACCAGCTAAGACGTTATGTAATRTGCCGTGGGTATAAACATGCCATCACATATTGAATATAAATGGAAAGCTTTATCCAAAGCTAAAAAAGATGCATATAAAAAGTGTTAAATATGTCATTTTTTCTTTTACAAGGCTAGAAATTTTGTAAGAATGTTGCACTGAGCATACTAACATAAAACAATCTCATTAGAAATGTCCATTTTGCTACACCCATGCTTTGGTGTGAGATTCCAAGAAGAATCATTAAAAATAATTGTCTGTATCAAGTGAGTTATAGGCCTCACTCTCTGATGATTATTATGCAAGAATTAATATAAATGTAAATTTTCACCAGCCTCAGTTGTTACTGCAATATCCATTCCTCTGATTTTGACAAATGCAATTTTGCGAGCACGATCCTATACAGTAAAGCACTGCAGAGATCATTTTCCTAGACCATCACTTTGACTGTCAAATATAACACTTCTATCAGATATAAGCAGCTTGTCTTCACTTTCAAAGCCCTTCATAGCTTCACCTCATCCTACCTATCATCTCTTATTCAGGATGAAGAGATCACTTCTTTCCCTGATTAGCACCTGATGCCAGCCTCCTCCATCTACTTCTTGGATTTTCAGTCACTCAGATTCAGGCTTTATTTCATGTCATTCCTTACATTTGGAAAGTGCTACTTTAGACATCTGCAAAGCTACCTCATTTTTTTCCTTCTAATCCTGTCTGTGAGGTTCCATTGCTACTATGTCTTCAAAAGAAGTTTCAGAGTTGGGTCTGAATTTGTCTAGTTTTGATGAATTCCCAAGGAAAATGTCTGGGTCGGATTCAAATGSAGCGTTCCCGAAAATGGGAAGATTTGGTGCTTCTTGCTCAAAGCCAGCCTCTGTCCGACTCTATACAAGAGGCTGTTGTCTTGCAACCTTTGGCCTATTGAGGGCCARTATTTGTTCTTCTTGGAGACAGAATGGGAGGAACTTAAGGGCAGTCCACCTGGCCTGTAGTAACAACTGTGGTGGGCCCTGACATTTCTGTAGCAAGATGATGTTCCAGGAGGTTGTATCTCAACGGTCACTTGGTCTTTTCTTTCATTGTGAAAGGTGACTGATAGAAAAGATAGGATACAGACATTTGAAATCATCTCACGTAAGTGAGGAWAGACTGGCTGGCCATTTCTGTGGGAATTTGTATTGTCCCTGAGTTGCCCAAATATCTGCCATGGAATGAATGAGTAGGCCGTATACCCTTCTGCTGGGTCATCAACTTAGCTGAGTCTATTTTTCTTTGAAGCAATTAAATTTGTAGCCTGTAGCCTTGAAACATGCCTGTGTGTCGTGTTGTGTTTATTTTCTAATCCCTAGTGGCAATGACTCAAGACCAAGTCATCACTTTGCAGGAATTACCTATGAAGGAAAGTGGAAACTCCGTGGTGTCTCTCTGGCATCTTTCCTTCCAGATGGTGCCTCCGTAGCTCTTCCGAAGAGGCTTGTGAAGAGCCAAGCTTGTAAGTGCTTCCGCTGATTTTGTTCTAAGCCGCTCTAATTTGGGTGAAGGTTTATTTTGGGCTGCTTGACAGATGGGGATCCCTGCCTTTTTCCCCTCAGGTGACCTGCCTTGTGCACAGCTCCCAGCCACTAGATAACTCTCATGGATCTTGAAGAGACAGGCCCCGGGTTTCCTTAGACTTCTCCCCTACTTCTCTTTGGCCTCCTACAGATGGTCAGTGGGGTTTTCAATCTGCCACCATTTCCAACTGCAAAATGACCAACGTGCTCCTCAGTTACCCTGCATGAGGATGTTAATGGAAGCATCTAGGCCCCTGTGTTACTGCAGAGCATTTCGTTGGTCTTATGTTTCTGACTGAAATCTTTAGAAAAAAGCTTATGATTCTGAAGTGATTAAAATCACTTTTAGAGAAGTTGTGACCAGATCCAATTTCAGATCCTTTAAAATAGGGGGAAAAAAAAACACTTTTAAACAATCTTTAATGTCACATTTTTGTAATTTATCGGTGGATCTTTACTCTTAGAAAGTTCTGCAGTGATTTCTCCAAGGCACCCAAAGGATGTAGATGGCAAGCCAAGGTCTTGTTGCAACTTCAGTCTAAAAACACCCACAAAGCTGTACAGATTTCCCAAAATAAAAAGTAAAATCACTCCCAGGCTGAGCTTTTTTGCCAAGTTTCAGCATAAAAAAATATTTTTGTAGCCAAGTTATAAATCTCTGAAAATAAGAGTTTATGTGGAAATACTGATACGTMCTTAGTTATAGCGCTACTAATGGCTGTAGCACTCAACAATGATTCGATGCTAAGGCTATTAATCCCAAAGCAAACTTTCTCGGAAGAAGTTGAACTTTAGAGGTCAATGAGATCCCAGAGGAAGTTGGATTGAAAACTGAGAAAAGCTGTTCTTGTCCATGTAAATCAATTGTTATTGTTTTCCCGTCTGAGAAAATTTTAATGCAAAGACTAAGGATTTACAAACAGGAAAAAGGAGAACTTCAGAAATTCTTGTAAGAGGTGGTGATTCATAGCATTGTTATTCTTTTAGATAATGCTGTTTTCAAACCTTGTCCTGAAGCAAAATCCTGAAGCAAAACTGAAGGACTAAGTGGCTCATTCGTGAGCCCTTGTTTTAAGTTTAAGTTTAAGTTTATGGTCAGATTTACAAGGAGAACTAGCTACAAATTGTCTTCTGTAAGAAGTAAACCTCAAAGCGCAGTGGGGAACAGAGAATAAGCAAGAAAATTTGTCAATMTCAAAATCCCACTGTGTTTGTTTCTTAGTTTAAGAAATGGAAGTTTCAGAAACAAAAATAACAGACAAGCTTTTCTGTCAATTAAAATAACAAGGATGGAAGTATTTTGATATTTGTCTCCCTTTACTGAATTCCTGCAACTAAATAACTTACTAGCAATTGAGTTGTCTGTGGGTGGGCTTATAATTATTAATTAATCGCAACCAGCAATTAGTGTGTCTCAGTGCATTTTCTGTATTTTGTATTCTTGTTCATGTTATTCCAAAAAAAGCTTTAGAATTTAAAAAAAAAAAAAAAAAAGAAAAGAAAAGAAAAATAAAAAAACCTGCTGAGGGGAAAAAAAAATATCATACTCACAAGTCTAGTCTGGTAGCTGGGTCTTCCTGATGTTAAGGACTTTGTCTTTCTGGTGTTATTCATTTTTAGAAAGTAGAACACACAATGAAGAAATGGTTATTTGAACACAAAGGAAATAAATTTTGCAAGACTGATGCAGACACAAATGACAGAAATTCCTCTCAATTCCTCTGTACAGGATTTACTTCATAGAATTACRTCATTTGAACAATCAAATGAAACCTTTCAGTTACTTTGAATCAAACTTTATAGCTACACTTTTACCATTGGAAATTTTGAAATTTTAACCTTTTTCCTCAATGGAAGAAAACAGATTTTAGTGTGTCAGATTTTCCCTGAGTGGAAACACAGCTTTGCTTTTCCACTAAAGCCACCAATCAAACTGCCCAAGATGGCTCATGGCTTAGCTGCCTTCCAGAGAACATATTTTCAGTCACAAAAAAAGTCCAGAATGATGCAAAGCCTCCACATGGTTGTACAGTAGCTACGGCAGCCCAAAGACCTGCTTTAAACCTTGAACTTCTTTAGGTTTCTGTAACTGAATCTTTCCATCAATAAAAGGGGGATAATAGCTGCTGCTTTTAAAAGCGCTGTCCTTTTTTTTTTTTTTTTTTTTTTGCACACTATTTTACATTATCTACAGAGCTGATCCTGTAGATTTGGGTTTTTTTTCAGTTTCTGGAAGCAGAACCATCAGAGAAGCAGACTGCCGTTATGTGGAGGATGCACGTACTAAACCTGCTGATGACCACAAAGTGTGCGCGTCTGATCTATGTTTGACACACAACTTTGTAACTGTATTTTTTAATATCTGAAGTGGAGGAAAATAGAGAAGACTTTTAAGAATGGTTCGCAGCCTTATCATGTGTCAACTGTCATTATCAACTTAAATAACTGATAATATCTATGTGAACATAGAAACTACCAACACTGTCTTACCACTGTCTCAACATTGATCCTAATATTTAAGTACCTCAACTGATACCAGTAGTTTTTTGGTTTTGTTTTACTTTTTTTACCACTGCTTCTCCTAACATAGCTGATACCCGACYAGCAAAAATAATTAACAATTTGAAGTAAAATTATGAATATATTTCTTTGCAATTAAGTGAACAAGCAGCACAAAGAACCATTATCTATAAGGAAGTGAGTATTTTGTGGTATCTCTTAGTAAATCTCAATTTAAGTAACAGGGAAGAGAGTTATGTTCACATTGCATGTTCATGGCCATACAGCTTGGTTGCTAACTTTATTGCACACCCAGGRCTCATCTGTGACTAGTGCTTGGATGCCACAGTGTGTTCAGCATCTGAGAGTCTGGCTTCCATACTCACCTATGCCAAGAAACCTCTCGGGAACTCTTCTTCTTTTTCCTTAAAAAAATAATAATTTTGTACCATTATTTTGTTTTTTAGTACTTAAAATCATCGCAGAGCTGGATCATTCCACTCTCTATGTTGGCAGAGCTCAGGCAGCGCAGGGGCAAACAGAAATCTAAGAGGTGAGGACTCAAAAAAGCAGCTAAAGGTAGGAAAAATGTATATATCTGAGAGCTAGAGGGGAACATGGCATATACAAATGAAAATAAGTTTAAGCTAATCTTCAAAACTTTGTGACCAAGACAGTATAGAGGAGAAGCAGGAAGCCCCTAACACTATAAAGACTAATGTGATGTATTGATCCAAACTAGTATTGGAAGAGCCATGCCACAAGAGCTTAAAATTTCTCAGAGACTACGTTTAATGTTTTGCTCACCAGGAATATCTTTGATCGTCTGACTTTCATTTTATTAAAAAATAAACAGAATTGCTTGGGAAAAAAAACTTGTTTTACTAGCAGAATCCGTATGAGGGGTTGTCAGAATCTCTGTTTTCAGAAAGATGGACTTCTGTCTGAAAGATTAGAGAATGCTCTTTTCCAACCATAATTTCAAAATCAGAAGATATACATTTTTGACATTTTCTGTTTGTAGTCAGAATCTCTGTGGCTAATATTTATCGTGAGTTTTGTGCTGAGAGAAGAGGTGACAAAATCGTTAAAACTGCTATTGCAACACAAGAAAATACAGCAGTCTAATATGAACCCATTTGAATATCTTTATTGTGTGTGGGKTTTTTTTTCCCTTCTTCAGAGCGGAGCAATAGCATAATACCCAGCTGCATGATAATATTGGCAAGCAAGGCCATGAATTTCAACTGCAAACCCTAAACACTGAATGTGCTGTGCTTTTTAAAGAAATCCCCTTTTGTATGAGATATGTAATACCCTTTTGTGCTGGAGTGGTTTGCATAATAATAGTTTTCTYTAGTTATTCGTTGTCATGTGATGGAGCTGAAAAGTGAGCTAGGCAGTAACAGCATGAAAGACAATTTCCCATTTTTCTCTAATTTTTCTGAGACATTTTTGTATTTTAAAATGTAAATTCTTCTAGCTATCTTCAGAGAAGATATCCATTTATTAACATTTCAGGTCTAATTGCTACTCTTCTTAATATTCACCTTCCTATTGGAGCTTTTTTTTGCCCTCTCTGAAGAAACAGCAACATTTGCACTCAGGAGGAACCTCAAGTATCTTAAAATAATTGGACAAATGATAATATGATCATCTGATATAAGTCAGCATAACTCCATTCAGAGATATTGACACCACACTTAAAACCTTATGGATATAACAAATTCATTACAAATGCCAAGCAAAATTTGTATTATAAATATTTACATTATTAATTGTATAACTTAAAAGAGTTGGACATATATTACACTGTGCCACTGAGATTCAACACCTAGCATACATGTGGGAACATGTATAAATTAAAATTTTAAGAGTCTCTGATGAGGTTTTTCATGTATAATTTTTAAGATTCCTCCTGGGCTCTTCTATAGGTTTTGGTCTCGCCCATAAGTAAGGAATATTTTCAAAGAAGATATAATTACATTGAAATGGAGCTCACTCTTACTCCCAGGCAAAACTGTAGAGCAGAACTGCAGCCAGGGGAAGTTCCTCCAGTAAAGTTCAATAACCTGGGTCAACTGAGTGGAATATTTGGCATTATTCTGACTGATGCTATCAGATTATTTTTTCCTTTGAAATCACTGGAATTATGCCAAGTTATACTAGTTGTGAAGTTGGCCCTAAAACTGCAAGTGGTTTTCAACCTCTGGCCTGCAACCACTGCAGGGAACTATTTCCACGCACTCCTTGAAAAGTAACTAAGAAAGTGAAGCTATTACTATTTAGCTTGAGTTCACAGAGTGAAAGGAGGGCTCATAATTTTAATGGAAAGCATTTAAAGGTTTACAATTGAGAAAGGTCAAAAACAACTGGACTGGATTAGTCCAGGAAAGGCCACAAGTCCAATTGATGCATTCTGATAATTAATACATTATGAGATCTAGCATTGCAATGGATACTGAGGCAAAAAGGAATCCCCCAGCGCTCTGCAGTCTTTTTATAGCCCCTTAGGCTAAAGGGGACATTATGCACAGTCATCCTATAAAACTGATGCAAATTAAATCCATTTATCCATTACAAATACAGCAGTTATATAATACAGTTTACTAAAATGTCTAATACCTGTCTTTACTAAATAGACAACAAGAAATCTTCATGGGTCCAGTAAACAAAGACTTTAACAATTAATATGGGAGGCACAAATACTATCACTAAAATCATGGAGGAAGTCCTGGAATCTAGGTAAGCAAGTATTGACATGGTTATACACACTATAAATCATTTAATCAGGAATCTCACAACGGAGTCGCAGGGTGTAACATCTTGGAAACAGGAGTTGGTTCATGTCAGTTGGCTACCAGATACCAGTAATACGCTGCTGGCTGAGTAACGTCATGCTGTCTGTCAGCAGCAGCAAGATAAATCAGTTCTTTGATTAAGGAACTTGAAGCCTTCCAGAAGGAAAAGTCCTGGTGGAATTTTCTGAAAGGTGCTGCTAGAACCGTATGGCCAATGAATTGCTATGTCATTATAAGGCACTCTGAGCTTTACTGCAATAGGTGCTGGTGTGTCACAGGCTCACACGTACCCGTCCTGGGAGAGTAGCCCCTTTTTCCAGTTCTCCTGGTCTCTTCCTTTACTCCAGGTTCCCCCAAGTTCTGTGAATTTGTTGCTGCTCCTCAACAGATGTAGCAAGAACCTTTTGTGCTCATCAGTTTCTTTCATAATTTCTTGGAAGTGTTGAAGTTTTTGTTCACAGTATACTGTGAATCAGAATTAAATGTTACTGTTAAAAAGAAAAAAAAAACTTTTCAAATATGTCATTTTCATGTGAATATTCCAGAGTGATGCAGATGGCCAAAAATCGGGTAAATCAGCCATTGGATTTGTTTGATTTTCTGCAACAAGTGTTGCTTAACTCTTAAGGTAGTGAAGCACATCTATCAAAGGCAATGCATCCACCATTCTCTATTAATGATCGTCCTTGCATGATTTGTCAATTCCATCTGTGCATTATGTCATATATGGCCTTTGTCCAGTAGTACAGGAATATGACTACTATTAATTCGGACAGTTGTTTGTATTCAATGACCAGTATAAATCAATCCCGGAATTAAATTTCATTATTGTCCATTTCAGCTTGGTACAAATAAGCACCTTGGAAGAATCTTCGCAAATATAACAAACTCTAAATGTAAGAGCAGTGTTTGAAATTGCATTTAGTTCAGCTAAGTTTCAGGCACGGAAGCAGCTTTCTGTCCTGCGTCCTTGTTTGCAAGGGATGCTGCTTGCCTGTTTTATGTCTTCCTCATATGTACGTTGTTCCGGGTCTGCCAGTTTGAAAAAGTCTCCCCAAAAAGGGCAAGGCTTCTTCAATATCAGTTTGTTGCCTCCTAGAACAAGCCCAGCTGTAGCTGCATTTGCAATTCAAATATTTCAGTGAGTTGGAACAACCAGGTTAGGTTGCATGCAGGTTCACTGTGTTGTAAAGAAAAGGGTCCTTAGTTACCTTCCAAAATATGCCTGGCTGCAAAGTAYGGAACATTTTAATGCATGATCATGTAAGCTGGGAGAACATTTCCTCTGTGCATGACTGTACTGTTTTTGTCATTAGCAATTCACAGAGATTGCACCAAAACTCTGAACTCCAGTGCTGTCTAGGAAAGTTTGTGTGTGGATCCAAATATTATTGCTCATTTTTAGCCCATACGCTCATTACTACCCACTTGTTTTTGAAATATTTGTAGCTGACTGCACTGAGAGATTATCACATTAGGTGAGCTATTGGCATGTTATGTGGTAATTCCTGTGATAGTTTCCCTGTAACATCATGTTTTGATGAATTTTATATGACAGCTTTCTGTTTTTATGAGAGTTTTGGTGGGGTTTTTTTTTTTTTAGGTGTAAAAATACCCATTTAGGGGGCAAATAACTGCAGAATCCACTCTGGCCTTCCYTGCTGAGCAACCAGAAGGAAGGAGACGAGCTCTGCTAACTGAGCCAGCACTACGTTGGCAGCAGGACTCTGCCCAAGTGGAGCAGGACTYGCCTTGGTTAAAAGACATCCCATCTGCTCTCCCAGTCCAAAGCCTGTGCAAGCCTCTGGGAAGCCAGTGCCCAGGACCTTAGGAGGCTTCAGAAGGTCTCCTGTCCTCCCGGAGGGAGCCCAAGCCAGGGCAAAGAGGCAAAGGGTGAAGATGGAAGTGCAAGTCTTCATGGGGTTAGCCAYGGGGTTTTGCTTACGTGGAAGGAAGCACAGACCAGGACAAACATCTCTCTCCTTGCTGTGGCAGCTCCACAGGAATAAGATCCTGCTTCTTTCCCTGCTCTATGGTCTCTTTACATTAAAATGCAGAATTCACCCCAAACRGTTTCCTGGTGAAAAGTCACTGAGAAAGCTTTCCAAACAGTTAAGGCTGGAGTCTTAATGAATTTTTAAAAGCACATAAAAAGTTCCTTAGCTATATATGCTTTAAAACAAAAGGTTTATTCTTACATGTTGGCATGTCTTTATTGGTACCATTTATTTACTTTTTATAGGAGTGAGAGCATGACTGCTTTTATGCCAGCCTATTTGATTGTGTATGACTTACCTTACATTTACAGGGACCTATTGTTGCTTATGAGGAAAAACAAAATTTCTGTAGAGCGTTTAGCTAACTCCCCATTGAAGTGAAGCAAGGCGTATCTTTGAAAAACTCTTGAAGGATTATTCCTAATGGGGCCAATGGGACCCTTGCTTTGCTTATAAAAAGATATGTAAATTTATAACGGACAAAGATACAGTTATCCCAGAATAGCCTCAGGAAAAATCCTCAGATTTCTTTCAGATGAGGTGCACAGCTGGGGATTGCAGTGTACGTTGCYATTTCTGCAGGCTGAGGAGATTTTGTGCTGGCTTTTGTTTGCAGTATGAGACATATTCTCTTATCACTTACATGGTCAGGAATAATTCCCTTTAAATCATGCTACTGCATATCCAAAGTGGAATCAGCAGAATTTATACTAGTGCAAGACAAAGAATAATCTTGCACAGAAATTTTAATAGTGACAGTGATGAAAAACTTAAGTGCTCAGAGTCCCTCACGTGTTATCAGATCTCTGGAATCTCTCGAAGCCTGTCCCACTTCCATCCAAGAAATTGCAAGCTCAGTCTCTTTTGAATGGAATAAACCATGTTTATTAGCCTTTTTCTTCTTTTCTAGATCAGGAGTTCTTTCCTCCTTTTATTGAAGGATCTGTACAAAACCAAAGAAATCTCGTTAAAACTTAATTACGAAATCCTGTTGTATTAAAAGGGGAAAAAAGGCATCTGGAAAGGACATTTTTCAGAGACTTGTGTTTAGTTATTAACAATTATTTCTGATGACTCCCAAAGTTATTAAATACATTTTGGTCCTCTTGAAGATGGAGGGACTCTCAGATGTACGAAACTGAAGTCCATAACAGGATTTTTAATAGATCACTGAAGATATTCAGACCTGTAGCCCAGTTGCTTCCGTTTACACCGATACCCAGCAAAGGTAGTGCCGGATTGTGGAGGTTTTTCCATCTCTGTCTGTTCCGGTGACATGAGCAAGTGGGAGTGCAGAGAGCTGCTTCGTTTGGCACAGGCAGAGCCAGCCTCCTTGGAAGGCTTTTCGGATGCCACCTCCAATGAGCTGTGTCATTTCTAGAGGTCAGGAGAATAAGCTGCATCAGAAGTGAAGTGAGGACAAGCCTTGAGGACAACGTTCACCTGCAGTTGTCTCTTCCCAAGCAGCCTGGCTGATCCAAGGCTTCAGCAGGAGATCCCACCCAAGATKTATTTATTCTTATTCGCTAGCCAACAATCAGTTCTGCTCGGTGTTATTTAAGGATACAGAATGACAGACAGTCGTTCGCTTTTGATAGAGAAAATGTTAATTTTTTAAGTGAATCTTACAGCTTTTGCTTCAATCCTTTATGCAGCAAACTGTTCCCATCAATCAAAAGGCAGTCTTTCTTCAACTCCTGAGAAATTACATTCCTTATTCAGCACTGCCAACAGCTCTGTGCAAAAGGAAACCTTTATTCTTGGATAAAATCTCCGAGAAGCGTGCACTGGGTAGATTAATGGCTTGCTGATCYGTGATTTAGCATCACTTTGATGCTTCTTACACAGATTATCTCCCAGGTTCCTTTCAGAGGGGAATTAGTGAGTGACATTAGATTGCTGYCGTGGTCTTTGCGCCCACAGAGTGAGTGGTGACCAAGGGATGTCACTGAGGTGGCATTGCTGGGTGGAAGATCTCAGCTGCTTTTAAAATGTATCTAGAATGATACTGGGAGAAGTCATTCTGAAAAGCTGGAAAAGCTGTTGGAAGAGGAGAGGATGGGTTGATTTCCCCCTGGGCTCTGGGCRGCTTTATTGCCTAGAACAAGTCATATAGAGAAGCCTGCAGCCTGATCAGCTTTGAATAATCRTCAGGAATGAGTTCAGTGGACTTTGGGAGCTGTTAGTGAAGGTTTTACAAATGGAAATAATCTGGGACTGTTTGCCCATGCAAGGGTTTGTGCCTTTTTTTTTTTTTTTTTAATCTTTTGAATAACCATTCTGCTGCTAACAGAATAATTACAGGTAATCAAAAAGTCTGTTATMATCTCAATGCCTTCCCAGTTACTCTGTGTCTCTTGAATCACAAAATTATTCTCACTTTAATGTGTTTTGTTTTATTAGATACACCTGCTTCAGTCATGGCAAGTTGGCCATGGACACAGTGGAATATTTGGATTTTGATTAATAGAGTTTTGCTAACGAGTAGCGCTTTAACTTAGCTATGTCACAGAAATTATATAACTTTGAAGACTCCTTTGGCCATCAGCAAGGTGCGTGACACGGAGCGGGATGAGGAGCAGAGAAACCAGGTCAGGTAGATAATGCAGCCATGCGCAGAGCTCGCATGGAGGCTAACAGCAGAGAAAAGTTTTGTTCTGAAATTCTGATGTACAAAGAAACCAGCTTGTTAATCAATTTAAATGCAGCTTGGGCATCTGTCACAGAGCACATGCTTCCTGCAAATTGACCCTGCTCTTTCTTTCTACTTACAGTCCCTGACCAGTTGGACTGTTGTGGTCTGAGATTCAAGATCCTGCTCTGGTTGTTCTGTTGTGAATTCTCCAGATTCAGTGACCTTGGGTGGACGCTGAACTAACCAGACGCTGGCAGCTCTTTGTGCCACCACATGGAAGGAGGATTCTGTCTTCTAGATCAGTGTTTACCCAAGTCAGCTCTGTTGCACAGGTGATTTTTTGAATGTGTGTCTGTACTGTGTACATGCCTTTGCTTTTGCCTTTATATTTAACTTCTTTGTTTTGTTTTGTTTTTTTGTTTTCTTCAGAACTTGCAGAAGGCTTTAGCTTAATATGTGTCTGTTCTGGCCGTGCATTTGTTGCTCACAAGCAGTGCTGCACCACTGTGTGCCCTTTTATGCCTTAGTCATTCTCGCTTAGTGCTACACAAAGGGCATAGCCGACCCAGCAAAACCTCTTCCTGTGCAGGCTGATGTATTATGCTTAATGCATTATCAACATGACAAGCCTGCCTCAGGAAACTCCAGCAACCCAGAAAGCAGAGGTTTGTTTATGTAATATACTTAAAAACAAATGCATATCCCACATAGAATGCCACCTTTTTTTCATTTCTTTCTTTTTAGTTTCCTCAAGGTGGACTCAGTTGATGCTACAAATGAAGACAAGRCGACAAGACCTTGCTTAGGTGAACCAAACCTGAAAGGAGCAGTATTGTTACTTCAGAACATTGCAGAGAACCTCATTTATCACACGGCCGTGCTTAGCAAGAAGTTCTGGAAGGGATCGCCCTGTTATCCAAAGYCCTAAGTGAAATAATGCCCTCCTTCCAGGAGAGCTGTGCTCTAAGGCTCTGCTCTATTCCTACCACTGGATTTGCATGAGAAGGTGAGAAAACTCTGTCTTGTAGTGTCCTGGGACTCTGCTCTAGGTAAATAGTTTGGGGAAGTAGAAGGAGGCTTTTCAGAAACCTCTTGGAATATTTGCGCAGAGCAGATTGTCTTGCAGGTATATTTGGGCTCTTGGGAGTACAAAATATCTCCAGTCTGTCCCAAACAGACTTTTTATTATTACTGGTATTATTGTTTTAGATGAGTAAATTTTTTTCTTGACAAACTATTGGGAATTCTGTAACTTTTGACATTAGAGTTACAAATACAAAATGCATATCCATTTTTTCAAATTATAATCCAACATGACTAAATCCTCTGATTATAATTTTATGAATAATTCCYGATTCAGAAAGAAAGCGATCTTCCAGGAAGCCTCACTCTAATTCAGGACCTGGGAATGAACAGAACTTTTAAATCTATTTGAAATCTCCTTTCAAACAGCTCTAGTTGTAACCTAAGCTTCTGACTAGCTGGGTACAAGGATAGGCAAACAAGTTCATTTTTATGTCCTGTAAATTTGAAGCCTTTCTGCTTTGAACCTCAGCCTGAAGTGGTCCACACGCCTGCTCTTCTCCTGACCTTGGCTGTGGGGATGACAGTGTGCACTGGCAGGAAAGCATCCTGGATTTCCATCAGCCTCTTCTTAGTGTCTCAGCTCAGTGGAGAACGTGGTTTTTAAGGCATATGCGTTGCTATATGTTTTCTGTCTGGTCTTTTACCTCACCATGTGTGTCTGTCACCATTTGGGAAATGGGTCCATTGTGTGGAGCTAAGGGAAAGAGAGATCAAGCAACCACAGCCCTTTCCCAGGCAGCCTACCCGGAATGCTCCCAAGCACCAAGGCGGCTCCGTGACAGCCTCCTGGCAGTGCGGAGGTGGCCTGCCCGGGGCCCGCGCGCTTGCAGCGCTCTGCACGTCCCACTGGTGGGCTGTTCTGGTTCTAAAGGGCGTGTGAAAGCCAACTGCACTGGTGTAAATGTGGGCACTCGTCGCTGGGAATGSGTGCGCTGAACTTGAGCATTTTCTCCATCCGTAAAGCAAGGCCACGGAGCTCGTGGTGGTTTGGAAGGAGCCTGGAGTCCCACGTGCAGCTGCAGCTTTGTGACTGAAATAGTGGCTTTGGGACAGATGTCTGGGGAGGAAGGCTTCACTCACCCTCATCTCACTTGTATAAACTTACAGGGTTGCAAAGAGGCAGTTTGGAAATTACCAAATACATTTTTCATTTTAAGTTTCAGATTATAGTGAGCAGTCAGATACAATAAGGACATTTTCAAGTGACGGATGATATTCTACCCTCTTAGGCCAGGATGTTTCTGTATCTTTTGTATTGCTTCATTGTCTAATGTCAAGAAATTCAAGTTCTGAAGCCAAATTTGTTAGATTGTATGAACTATAGAATTAAGTATGAATACAGAGAAGTATAGGCATCAAATCCTTTCTTCTGATCCCTATTTGGTTTTATATATTGACCTCACGAAATCAGATTATAAGCAGATTCCTTATTTGAAAGTTTACTTAGCTTTCAAATTGAGATTAAGAAAAACATATAGCCAATGAAGTTAAATGTTGCTGTTGGATAGCACCCTGACAAAGGAAAGGAAACCCCTCGCTGTGGGATACGGCAGCCATGGGTCATGAACGTTTAAGCAGGAGTTACTGCCATCCAGAGGAGGAAAGCCATAAACTGACTTATTTCATTAAGATTTTAAGCAAAGAAAGGTAAACCCAAGTGAATGACTTGGTTGACCCAGTTTGTTTTGTATTAAGGAATCAAAGAAGGGAGAAATAACAGAAATGTACCCAGAGATTTCTGTTGGCTTTCCTGCATGTAGACCTTTATGGCACAGGTCAGAGAAGCACTGAAGAAGACCCAACAAAAAATAAATCCATAGATGAAGCAGCACTAGGTAATCAACCAGGTTTACTTTCAGCTCTGCAGTTCAGGTTTTTCCCAGTTTCCCAGCTGAATAATCCAGCTACCCATCAAACTCTGATGTTTCAACCCCAAAGAAAAGCCTCCCTCTCCCTTTTTTTCCTCCTTTCCAAAGGAAATGTGGAAAATAAGAAATAGGTCATCTGGGGAGAAATAAGAGGAAAAGGAAAAAAGTTAGTTTTGCTTCCTTTCCAGTGTGCCTGGAGCTGAATAAAAGTTTGCAGGTGAGGGGGAGAAATAAACCAGAGCAAGAGAAGGAAAAGCAAACTATTAAAGTATAATGCCTTCTTAAGCAGTCCATCTTCTGCCACAGGCGTGTAAAAATTACAAGGATGGAAACTCACTTSACGCAGAAAGCAATAACAGTAATCCCTAGGAAAGCTTTTCCTGGATTGCATACACTTCCTAGAACATTTAAATATTTTTGAGCTAAGAGGTGGGTTCTGTATGCTTGCATGTACTTACACGTACTCTGAATGTGGAAATAATTCCACATTCAGGCAAATTTACTGAATGAGGGATAGATTTCCTGCTGCCTCCGTGTGCAGGCGTTGCAAGTGCCCGGTGCGTGCGGTGCTGCAGTAAGAGGTTTAGCAGTGACCTCTGCTGGGCTCCTGGGCGCAGTGCGGGGAGGAGCAGATGTGCCCACATGTGCCCAGATGTGCCCAGATGTGCCCGCTCCAGCTGCTCTCCCCGCAGCAGCGCCCGCTTCTCGCCCCTGCTGTCCCCAGTTGGGCCTCACCGTTAGGTTCCCGGTGCTCCGGGCAGGGCAGGAATGGCCAGAGCTCCTTGCCGAGGTGACCTAGGTCCCCGAAGCTGCGCCAGGGGCTGCGGGGGGTTAATTCTCATCCTGTGAAGCTGCATCTCCTGATGCCGCCTGTACAGGTGTCCTGGCCCTGCCAGGTGGCATTGGAAGCAAGGTGGAGCTTCTGGRGGGGGAAATTGCCCAAACAGAAGATAATCTTGCAGGAGTTTAGAGCATCTATTAAGACGTCTGCTTGCTGCTCCTTACCAAAGTTTATCTGCAAACGTGCCCAACTTTGAACCTCGGGATGAGCTGGAGGAAGTGCTTTGTGATGACTGTGTTATCAACCATCACATGTGTACAAATGCTGCCTACACGGGCACCATGAGGCTGCCCCTTTCGGCAGACCTCGTGTAATGGGTTAATCTTTCCTCAGGAGTCTCTGGAAGGAATTTGCAGAAAGGCTCAGGCATTCCTCTAAGGCTCCACCAGTGATGGGCTTGTCCTGGCCGAGATTTATTTGTTGAGGTAACAGAGAGTTCAAAGGCACTGAGCCTTCCMCTTCAGCAACCATGCCTGATGCCCTGCGGTGGCAGGAACTATCGATCGCCGCTCGTCGCTCCTGTTAGTGATCCTGGGAGTATTGACAGCCCCGGAGCTCTAGATTTAAATACCAGGAGTGCCAGAGGAAACCAAACAAATATCTTAGTTTGCTGTCTACAAACTTTCCTTCAAGCAAAATGTTCTTTTATGTTATTTCTGATGACATTGGGGGGGGGAAAAAAAAGAAAAAAAGAAGAATTTTTATTAGTTTATAGACATGCAAGAAATATTTTTCAAAATAACATGTCAAGTTTTTAAAACAGGCTATCTTCCCTTCTCCTGCATTGTGATGAAACTTCTAAGGGGAAACGGGGACCTCACCATTACTGTGTAATTCCTGTCAATAACATTGTCATTGAAAGCTAAAAGCRTCAGTGTAAGCTCTTGGGTATGAGGTGCTGCTAAAAAACAAATTGTCACCTGTGTTAGTGCCCCGACCAAAGCGTGCTCCTCACTGGCAGCCTTTGGTACCTAAGCAAACTGAGGGATCATCGTGCTAGCTAAGGGGGACAACGAAATTAAATCCCTGTGCTTCTAAATGCAGCAGCTCAGTCACTGAGGACAGGAAATCACTGTGTGTTGGGAAGCAGTATTGGGTAAATCTGAACTAGCTTCCACAGCTGTGAAAGGCTCAGAAGGGCAGAAATGACGTGGTTGTGATGGGCAGGACATGGAATAGGAAAAGTTTGTGACAAATATTCCAAAGAATAAAATAGTGAATATTATTTTTGATTATATATTTTTAATTGATTTAAAAAAAAAAAATACCAAGTTTTATACATTTAATAAATTAAGCTTCTAGGGCTGTTTCTTTAGAATCACATTTCAAATGTTAGCGTTTTTGCATAAAAATTCTTGTCTGCGCCCTGCATAACACTGAGCTCAATTCTACAGCAGTAGCTTCATGAACAATGATGGAAAAGAGGAGATACACAGAGGTAGGTGAGGAAGTACGAAGATGCGCTTTGGTCTCCGCTCCTGTTTGTATTATTTGGTATATTCAGMTGTGGCATCTCCCTGTCTGGCAAAGTTAACAAGTTGCCAACAGTTGGGGACAGTCCATGCTGTTCAATATCGTGTTGAGAAGTATCTCCTGATGAGGAACTGCACCAAAACTAGGTTCAGTTTCTCTTTGTTAAAACAGAGGCTAAATATTTTGGAGCATTGTCAAGTCTATTTATATGACACTGAGATCTCTCTGGGAATTTATTAGGTTCTTTCTTTGGATTCAGTTTATCCCTTTAGGAAGCGTGGATTATGGATCAGTCGTTTTAAGGCAGCCGACCTCCACCATCTTCTGCGACGGGGAAATTCAAACTTAAGGTAAAAGGATTCCCAGGGCCCCTGTTTCATGCTAAAGGATGTGTATGTGTGTGCTGTGGAACACTCAAACCATGAAAGAAACCTGATGTGAACTGGGGAGGTCATTGGCAACAGTGCTGCAGGTACAAAGTACTAAACTAATGTAAGAATCACTGATACTTAATTTCAGAGTTATTATATCCTTCCAAAATGTTCCAGCTGTGGATGGAATTAAATTCAACAGTGAATCCCATCTCCTGTGCTGACATGATGGACTAGTAAGAATAAACCTTTGAGAGACAACATTGGTGAGCAATGTCTGAGGCGCTGGGGTTATTSAGCGGCAGACTTGCAAGGCTGCCTGCAGATGTGCTGTCTTTTGTAGGATTTGCTGTAATCCACCTGTAAATTTTCACAGAAGAGTTCAATATATAACCAAAATGCTAGTCTCAAACTTTCATAATGCATTTATGACATTCCCTAGAGCACCATCAAGGATGAGAAAGCCACCTGTAGAGCTACCAGACTGGTGATCTACCCATCTCGAGCTTCCTTGTATGTCTGATAGCCAAGAAAATGTTCCAGGATAATCTACAGGAGAAAGTATCCTTGTGAAAATCCTTCAAAAGGCAGTGAAAAATCTGGGCATGGAAACAGTAAACAGTGTAGTCTTCTTATTTATTCATAGTTATAATAGATGAGGGATTAAATGGGATAATGACAATTGTATTATAGAAGATGTATTTAATACCTTTTGGAAAACTATCCAGATTCTATTTCTGAAATCCTCATCAAAAGTACAGATGACACAGAAGCATTTTTTTTTCTTTCTTTCTTTTTTGAAAGGAATTAAAGTACTGGAACATTTTCTTGGCCACCTGAGAAAATTCGTTGACATCTGAGAAATCTGGGAGTAGCTGGTGCCAAACTATCTGCTGGGTATGTACTCTCTTTAGTCTTAKCCCAAGGGCATTTGGTTACCATAAAGGATATTCGGAATTGACAAGGAGAGATCACCCAGATTTGGCCTTTCTAAATTTGGTCTCTTTCTTATGTGTGTTAGAATAGCTATTACAACTTTGCAGAGAAGTTTTTCTCATTAACAACTGTTATTTTACGTTTTTAGCTTTAGAAAAATTAAGCACATTGGGATAAGTTTCAAGGCAGCATTTTAGAGTTTTAGCCGAGCAATCCCTCACTGCCCATCTGGAATTACACAACTGGTAACCAGAATGCTTACTGGGGCAGTTAGATTGGTGTGTTTACTTCTGAATGTTTAATCCATTCTTTAAGAAAAAGGAAATAAATTGTATATTGTACTCAATATACTAGAATATCTAATTACAAAAATTCTCCATAATTTATTAAAAAATATAAATAAATAAATTCAACCTTGAAATAATAGAAGAATTTTCATTTAAGTATAATTTAATAACAACAGTAGAAGATGATATTTGATTTTTTTTTTTTTTATGCCAGTTTTGGAGCCATGGGATAATTTAGACTGGAAGGGACCACTGGAGGTCATCTAGTCCAACCTGCTGCTCAAGCAGGTCCAGCTAGCTCAGGTACAGCATGGCCATGTACAGTCAAGTCTTCAAGTCCTCCAAGATGGGGCTTTTGCAGCCTCTGCTTAATGTTGATTATTGCGATGTATTGATAAGAAACCAGTTCATACTTACTTTTCTCCAGTTTTCCATATGCAATTAGAAACGTTCTGCTTTCTGTCGGACGCTTTTTCACTCATCAAAATTTCTTATTTCTGTATAAACTGTTTYAAAATCATTTTTTTTCAGAGCTTTATATCTGATGATAGCTAGAAGGCATGAGGAGGTATTTCATCCTCTAAGCCTGTCWGAGCCTACAGAGAAAGGAGCAATTGCACGTCAACGATCCGTAGTGTCACCACCAGCCTCCTGTGACTTTGAGGGAACTGGGGAGCACTGATCCCTGTGGACACCACAAAGTTTTTGCAAACTCCTGGTTCAAACAAGTAAGTCCTGTGAAGCAATCCAAATCTCATGGGTTTATCTGTGGAGGCCTGTAGCCTTCCTTCATTTCCGAACCATTGCAGTGGTTCTCCAGCCATCTCCCATAAATTCATGTCCCCTATTCGGATGTAACCACTGCAGAARCGGGCAGAGGAGGTTTCTATTTGTGCTTAGCAACTCACCCCATCTCCCTTAGATTTCYGTAGCTCTTTCCTGCAGATCTCAGACCAGAAGAGCTCTGGTGCTAGGAACCAGTTGTAATTGCTTTCCTGGCAGAAGGTGGAGACTTTCTACAAAAGGCTGCTTCCACAGACACGTCTTCAGGATACAGTTGATCCCTGAGAGTTCCTAAGGGTCCCTTCTAGCTGCCTGGAAGACCAGTGCTGCACTGGGTCRCATCCCCTACCCCGGTCACACATGAACATGGGCCGTTTTGTTTGAACAGAGAAGCTGATAGTATTGAACCCATCTGTTTGTTTAAACCAGTTGGCTATCTTCTTGCCATCTCCAATGTAAATCTCCTATGGTATTGTGAAACTTTATTTATTTTAAGCTTGCAATATTTACCAGAGCAAACCATACAGAAAAGGTCCTTTCTAACCTCCATACATTTTTCTGCTCTTGTGGGAAAGATATGTTCATGTATAATTAAATATGGCTTTCTTAAACCTTTGCAGTTGGTAGCTTAATATATATTTTGTTGTATTTTGAGTACAAAGGCTATATTATGCTTTTGTTGGCATCCTTACTGGTCCGTATGCCAACTGCATAATTTTGTTCTCTGCTATATGTCAGGATTTGAGGACCGAGGGCTCAACAGGTGGTGCTGGGATAAAGTTCTGGCAAATCAAATAGGTAATGCGGTTATTTCTTTTGTCAAATTATAATTAAAAGCAGAGCCAAGTAAAATGAAACTCACATTTTCCTGTGAGTTTTGCAGGGCTTAGAATTAAATTCAAATCAGTTTCCATGACAAATATACATTACTACTGGAGCTGAGTCTGTAAATAAACATGCAACACCTTCATTTTGATGTAGAAAGACTTGTTCCCTGTAAATTTAAACCTTAAGCATCAGTGTTTAAATGAGAACAGAAGGTTAGAGAACTCTGTGAATCTTCTGTCTGTCTTGTACACATTTTATAGAAAATGTGCCAAAGGCTTCAGGAAAAGTTTGAAAAGATTTAAATCTCAAAAGTCAGAGAATATGAGGCAATCTGTGATACATAACTTAGATGTTTAACATTGAGAGTTTTCTGCCATATTGATTTCTAATCATTGTTAGAACCAGCTCTGCTCCCAGCAGAACGTGATACGTGCGCTGGAAATTCTCATGAATGTGCTGAACGAGGTGCTGGTTGTTTTATGCTTGACTTGGATAACGCTTATTAATCCTAAAATCATAAAAATGGGATAAAGCCTTCTACAACGAAAATGCAACAAATCACATATGCATAATCTGGTCTTCCAAAATTGCACATAAAAAGACCTGTCCACTTGTAAGCTGAGGCACTTTGTTATTGTATCTGATGTTTTTGCACTGAGATGCTTTTATTGTCCTCTGAGGACCTATCTAAATCTAATATAATCACATCTACAGCTCCTACAGCCACTGTGAGTTTATTTATTGTCCTGTTCCTCCTCTTCATTCAAAGACGTTTCTCCTAAACTATAACTCCAAGTTCTGTTTCGTCATTTCTGGACTCACCATCCACTAAAACAGCTTCACACATGGACCTCCAGGTCTTTAGAATGGTCATGAATGTCTTTATGTCCCTTTCAAGGTCGTGTTGAACTGAAGGCTTTACTTTTGTGTATGGTACGTCCTATATTTCCACTAAAGTCATTTCATAAGTGATCAGAAGCTATTCAGTGTTAACAAAAGGGGACCATTCAATCYGTGGCCTTTATTGCTTTTACATGTTATTTGCCATAATTTCTGTTAGTTTTTCATAGGGTAATACACTGGATTCTCACACCAGCAGGCCCAGGCTGCCATGGCAAATGGGAGGGCTGCAGGCAGGTGCTGAAGACACARCTGACCAGCAGGACCTGAAAAACTGCTGCCCATGGAATGGGAAATGGCTGGACATGGCAGGTAACTGTGAGAAGCTGACAGGAGTTACAGGTGGTGCTGTGAGGAATTTCATTGGTGGTCAATGGGCAATTATGCTGGGAACAATCAAAATCCACTGGAAGCTGGGGACGAGCATCAGGGATGTGGGGGAAATGGGACAGCAGTGAAGATCCCAGGCTACCAAGATCACCTAGGAAAGGGTATCAGATTGGAGTGTAGCAAACCTGGGGCTTATGGGGGAAAAGTAATTAAGGGCAGGTTGTTTATTTGGGAGGAGACACAGCTGACACAGTTGCAGGGGAAGAACTTGGGAAAGGGAATGGGGCAGAGAAGGGAATATAAAGTGTAACAGATTCCTCCCTTGGTGTTGCTTGGGAATAGCTGTTAAGTAGCCCGTCCACACTGGAGTGGGATAATAAACCCATCGTGCTCCCACCAGGCTGGATTCTGCAACCAGAAATGACCGGCTGTGCTGTCCCGTGCGTTGGGGACAGGATTGCTCTTCTCAGCGCAGGTGAGGGCACCTGGCAGGCACCACCTAACAACACTGTCCCTAGCCCCATTTAAGAGGCCTGTTTCCAAGCTTTGAATATTTGTAGGTTCGAATTTAAAGTCTGTAATTAAGACAAAATTCCATTTTCTAATGTGGATCTTATTTGCACTACTTTCTGTGCATTTTGGTGGGTTTTGTAACTGTCACTGTAGTTCTGCAGTGAATCTAGATTGTCAAAATTGATGTGTACAGGATTTGAGGTGGAGCTGAGATTGAGGGGATTTGTGAAGAGCTGCCAGCCCTAGGAATTGTACCATGATTCTCTTTGGCTGGTCATCAGTGGGGTTTCTTCACACTGTAGAAAGAAAATACCTAGGAACAACAATGCTTGGGCTGAGGATGAGAATCACAGTTTGAGCTCCTGCCCAGGCTTCTCCAAATGCCCGTGCTTGGGCTGAGTGCCTCTCTGGAGACGTGGGGCACCTCTTCCTTAARTCAGCAGAGCTGCCTCGAGGTGGGTTTGGCAGCTTTGCTGCAAGGGGCAGCCTGAGAAGGCACCAAGCGTGATACAGCTCAAGTGTTATTGGAAATCCTTCCCCAGCACTGCTAGACCTCTTGTCTGACATTGGAAATGTCACGCAGCCCAATCCCTGCTGCCCATGATTTGTCATTAACGTTCAGTGCATAGGACAGTGTTCTGATTTCTTATTTTAAATAACCATGTTGAGTATCTTACCCCTTGGGCAGCTATTTAGCAAGGAAAGATCCCCAAAGCAGGTTAAGTACCCCTTTCATTGCCAAAAGCTTTATGTGTGGTCTGTGAGGGCATCATCCTTGCAAGGCTTGTGGCTGATATAGTCAGTCACACATAGCACCTAGTGCCGTGTTTATCCAAGGAACTAACACTGCTGCTCGCACACCTTTCCATGTGAAATTAAATTGAATCCGTTGAAATGGTAAGGATTAAAAGCATGATAAATATCCTAATTTTAATAAGGTATTATTTTCTGCCTTCTGCAGGAGCCATCTGTCCAGGAGCAGGGCACTTCTCCCTGCGGCAGCGGGCACAAGTTCAGCCGCCAAGCAGCACAAGCCTCCCCAAAACTACTGTGATTTGGCTCTAACTAAATAGCTGAATTTAGCTATCACTAAATTGCACTAAAATTTAGTATCGCTAAACTCTACCTTTTGGTAGAGTTCATTGCAATGTTGCTCTGTTACTGGAAAAGGGGATAGAAGCCGAATGCTCCAGGACAGGGGTGAGGTTTTCACCTCGCTTTGACCTACCAGACGTTAGCTGTTCAAATCCCTTTCTCCGTTAGAGCGCTTAAGCAGCTCAGGCTCCGTGTGCGGACGTTGCCCTACTTTTGTCTGTGCCTTGTCTCTGCCGGCATTCCTGTTCCCATGCTCTGGCAATGCTTTCCCTCCAGGAAAGCCAGCGAGGACAACGAGGTGCTGCCCACCCTGGTGTGCCTGGCTCCCGTGAGCACCACCGGGACGGGCCTGGCTGTGTGTAGGTGTCACACACCTACATTTCATAGCAGAGTAGGAGAAGAGCTTTGCACCTTGCTGAAATCTATCCCAGCCTGTTCTTTTATGATTTTTGATCAYGATTAATGGATGAGACTAAACTATTTGCAGTGTATTTATTATCAGAAACAAAATTGAAGGTAATTTGATCCTATAGTGCTTTTTTAAAATAATACTATACAGTGGGGGGGAAAAAGGGTATGAAGTTCTGTGTAAAGATCTTTGTCTTAGTTGATCTGGTTGAAATATGGACAAAGGAAAATCTCTGCGTTGACACTGGTATAATAGGAAGCAGAATATGATCTGCTCTTCTGAGCAATGTGCTGTCACCACAGACTACTTCACCATACATACCAAACATATAAAAAGTTTATTTGTCAGGCTGTTCCTGCAAGCTCTTTATTTATGGCTACTTTATCATCTGAATAAAGCCATGTCTTTCATGATTGGAAGCTGTAATGGTCTCTCAACCTCTGGAGTTGCATGGGTGAGTGTGAGTGCTTAGATTATCGAGTCATTTTGCTATAAGCACTGGAGCAATTGGATAATGCCATCAATGCCATCCCGTGTTCCTCTGCCAGCAGGTCCATTGTCACATGAGCTCGCAGAGTTCTTGACACCTCTCTCTGTGTGTGACACTTCTGCAAAAGGGCAAGTTCCTCTGTTTCTCCCGAGACTTGAAAAGTTGAAAACTCAACTGCCCATAGTGTTCATGCCCATAGTTTCTCAGACTAGGGACTGTTCTTCCTCTCGCACTTGCCACTTACTGGTCAGATACGTTCAGCAGAATTAAGCTGCTGACTTTCTGTCTACAAAATAAAGAATTATGTGATGACACATACAGAAAGTCAAACAGTTCTACAGCAGGTAACCTTAGCTTGGTAACTTGAACTAGATTAAAAGGAGCAGCTATCACAATCTATATGGATTCTCTTTAAAGACACAATGTAATAGAGGTTCAGCGTAAAGGTTGGATATCACTAAACAACCTTTGCATATATCAAAATGGATTTTCATGCTAAAACAGCAGAGAACAAGGCCATGCAAACTAAAAAGCCAGCTTTCAAAAATTGTGTCATTTCCAATGGAGAAGGAGGAGAAGAGAGAGAACTTGGAAAGGTTCACTGTAAAGCCACAACAAATTGGCCAGCAGTGTGATTTCCTAAGCATGCAAAGCTAATTCTACTGTTGCTTTTAATTGCTTTGGAATATGGACAACCACTGGTGAGCGGATGGTGCCCACACATCAGAGGTGTAAAGGGAGCAGTTACAGAAGAAGGCAATGAATATTTGAAAAAAAAAAAAAAAAGGCGCCAGAGGGGATCCTGAGAGCTATGAGCTGATAAACTTGACTTCTGCACCTGTGAAAAGAATAGATGGTTTACATGGGGAAGAACATGTCCTTCAGAGAGGGTCCACCTGGCTTTTGGAGAGTCATGTTGCTCGTGGAGCTCTGTGAAGGACCAGCAGGATGGTGTTACTTTTCAGACAAACCCCAGCTTTCCGCTTTAATGTCGCCCTTCTGGGAGGCAACCTTATGGTTTAGCTTGCTGAGGGAGCTAGCTGTGTTAGTGTCTAAAGAATCTGTTGCAGTTATAACTAATATTTTGAGTATTGGCATGGCTTCCCTTGCTGGATCAAGCAGAGCTCTCCATACCTCTGACTTCTGGAAACTACAAGCCAAAACACACTTGCGTCCATTAAACTATGAAAATCTGCTGTTAGAGCAGCCTCCCCAGGCTAATAAAGAGTAGAGCTTAATGGTAAATTTCACATGGGTCTTAAAAAGACATAACAGACTGTTCCTACCATCGTTMATCCACTGGTGTTTGATCTGGGGGGTCTGGGCTTGTTAATGAGCAGCGTGTCCTGCTCTTGCTCGGCTGTGCTTGGTGCCAAGAGTGAATTTCCTCTGTGTGCTTCCCCTGTGCGCTGCCAAACCCCTTTTGGTCGGGCTCTCCGTCTTGCTTTGATGGTGCCAGAACTCACATCTGGAGATTCATCGTTTTGGGTCAGGTGCAGCTTTGCCTGAGATGTTGTTTCTTGTGTAGACCTGGTTCCGGTCTGGACACGATGACCTGGGCTCTGGACTCTTTCTGGGGCACCCTGCAGCCCTTCACAAGACGATTTTGTAACCCAAAATGTTTGGGTTACAGAAAATGGGGAATGTGACAGGTTGTTTGGTCTGAGTGCTCCTTCAGGAAAGATTTGATCTCACTGTGAGGTTTACTTAAGAGATTTGATTGAGATTTTTACTAAGAACATAAATAAAACTACTGCCAGGAAAATTATTATGAATAATTATAAAGCACTGGCTGCAGCAATACTGATGTTATTTCTAACACTAATATTCCTTGTGTGTCTGGGCAAGGGTTGTGTTATGGTTCCGTGTAGTCCTGCAAGGCCTTGGTTATTCACCAGTTGTGGGTCACAGGATGAATCTTTTAAAAAAAAGATGAGCTGAAAGCAATCAGAAATTTCCAGAAATATATCACTTCATGTAACATACGAAAATGATTTACATATACTTGTCCAAATGTTGAACAGCACCTAGCACTAATAAGGAGAGATAAGGTGTATCCTCTCCTGTGAACTAAGTCTTTAGTCTTTGTATGAGTAGAGCTGAGCCACTAGATAGACAACAGCTTGACTTTCTTGTTTTGCTCCCTTTTTGCAGATGGAAAATAGGAAAAAAAAAAAAAACAGGAAAGAAAAGTCAGTGAAGGGAGCAGAAGACCTGTGGATGGAAAGCACATCCAGGAGAGATGCCCTATGAGAATCTCTCTGACCTGAAATTATTCATTCCCTGAGTTATTTTCGTATCCTGATCCTACAAAAGTTAATGGCAATTTGATTCACAGGTCACTTCACTGCCTTCAAAAGTTGCAGCCCCAAACGGAATCGCTACAAGTACAKTGGATGGGAGGAAATACAGGAGGGGAATCCAGCACCAGATAAACATCTGTACGTAGATAAGCATCTGTCTTGCACTTCTGCCTTCCCACAGTTTGTCRGAAGGGACAGGAGCAGATGCAGGCAGCAGAACTGTTCTAGCAGAGCTTTCCGAGCCGCTTTTCTGGTCAGTATGCTGCAGCTCAGAGATTCGAATGAGCCAAAAACCAAAATGGAAGCACAGGTTATTTCCTTTATTTCCTTTAAATGATGGAAGTTTGGATGAATAAATCCTTCCTTATGGGTACTTATTTTTCTCTTATTTTCACAAAATTACTTTTGAAGTAGGTGTCTATGGGCATGAATCCTGTTCCAACACTCATCCTTGAAAAAACTGCAATAACTAAGGGGCACACCTTATAAAGTAGCTCATGAGTAAATGGAATTTAATGGGGTCAATTATCCCCACATGCTTGTGTGCAGGTTTCATTAATATTAATAGGGCTAAGATGCATATTGAAGTGAAAAATAGGCTATCATGGGCCTCTAGATTCTAATTTGTGTGTGTATGCACTAGTTTAGAATCATTCAAAAGAACATATTATTTTTCAAATATCTAGAATAAGTTAGTGGCAGGAAAAAACAGTTTGTTAATCCTGCGAGATACAAAAGGCTTGAGGAAGGGAATTACATGAGTGAAAGAGCATGGATTCTGTGTGTGTTTGCCATAATTTAGAATCACATTACACACATGTCTCTCCATAAATATTTAATGAAATGGAAATGAATATGTAGCAGGCTGGTTTGTTCCCTCTAAGGGTTAAGTTCCATTTCTGCAAATTGGTTTGTGCCCTATTTCTGTTCCTGTGTCTCTGTGCATCTAGACATTTTCTTGGCATCTCTAAACCTTTTGAGGCCTCACGAGATCTTCAGAGATTTGCTAGTAATTGACCTGTTTGGATTGCACATGACTGGCATTTGCTAAAAGATAATACAGCCCTGCATTTTGTTGTTAAGTGCTGGTCGTGTTATTAACTTGTGGCCAAACCAGAATAAAGACTCGGGAGACATCATTTTCCCTCAGACAACTTCATTTGGTTCTTACCGTAATCTCCATTATAAATGAAGCACTTTGGTCTCAGCTTAAGAGGGTTCCTATAATTTGTCAGCTGTGTTTGTCCAGTAATGAATACCCCCACATCTCTTCATGTGTTTTGGGATGTTTACTGTACGCCGAGGGTAAACAATCAACATAGCATCAAAGTCAGATGGTTTAACCTTCTGCCACTTCTCTAACCACTAAAGAGTTCCTGCCACTGCTCACTGGGTGTTGCAACATCTGTAAGTGTTTTCTGAGAAAACAGGGTTATTGAGTGAAGGAAACCTGATGGTTTCTCCTTAGAAAACAAGAACAATTAATAGCTTAGATCTGCTTTGTCCCAAAGGAGTTGGAATGAGCCTGCTTTGGTTTAGGTTCATGAGGTAGCAGAAACAAATTCTTGCCCCCAGCTATGATAGCATAGTTCTGGAAAAACCTTCAGGTTTGGGTCTGTTTTAATTTAAACCGGTACTATCCCATTGAACACATCTGATTTCAGCAAAGTTCCTACTGATCTACATGATCTTTGATAGCTAAAAAAGTTAGAAATGAAATTAGAGCCTAGAAACAGTGAACGAAGCCAGATAAGCACACACCATCAACTTTGTGCAACACAAGAATTAAATACTGCTGATCTCTGCAAGCAGCAATGACAACTCAAATGCAATGCCTTGGGACCCGCAATAACCTGGAGGCTAATTAACTGCATAGAGGGCTTTTTATATTACATTTCATATTAAATAAATTCAGCACAAATCCATAGAGACTAATTTTTAGATTGCTTTTTTAGGCAAATTTTACCCCAAAGTGATCAAGCTACGTAGGCTTCTGACTTGTAAGGTATCTGATTAATATATTGTCCTTCAGTAATTGAGGTACTTAAGTTGAAAATAGGGAAATGAGTGACAGAGATAGAGGAAGAGTCTTGGTGCAATTTTAATGATTTTGTGTCTTTCTCTGGAGGTTGTACTAACAGAGATATATTGYAGGATAATACCGGCCTAACACATGTCATCATATTGAAACTTGAAGCTGCTGATGTGGGTTTGATCAAGTGGGGAGCGAGAAATAAAGGAAAAAGAATAAGAAAAAGAAAGCAGGCCTATATCTTAACTTTAAGGTTTATTCAAGTCTCGCTTTATCTCCTGATCTCTCAGTCAAACCCCAGGGTGTACATAAACTACCAGCAGGCAAGCAAATTGCTGCGAGGCCGAGTGCAGACCATGCAGTAAGATATCAGCTAGGGATCTCTGTGGTGGGAATAAAATACTGTTTTGCTCATAAAAGGTCTGATCGCAGTCAACAGCTGGGCTGTGTACTGATCAGTATCCAAAAAATACAGCAGTCACCCAAAAATGTCTGTGCCTTGGCTGATAAGGATGATGAAATGGCGTAGACTGAGGTCTCTCTAATCTTYCTATCACAATGCAACAGAAAACATATTTCAACAGGTCCCTTTTAATGAAATAGCATATTGTGAACAAGTAATATGCTAGGTATTAGGCATATCTTTTTAATGCAGAAAAAAAATGGGTAGCTTAGTTCTTAAAATATTATAATTCTGGTGAGATGATTCAGCTGACAACGCAGTCAGCCTTTTCAGAACAGGTCTAATGGGTTCTCTGCTGCTGCTCCCTGGGGATGGGAAATTGCTTGACAACTCTTACAGTACTGCAGGGTGTCTGATCCTTTCCTTTTTTTCAGTAGGAATCTGAAGTGTCTGAATCTGAACCGTGCACAAGAGCYATTTTTCACGTGGAAGACGTCCCTTTTCTTCATGTATTCATCACAGAGCACAATAATATTTAAGTAAGTCTGGGTTTGTGTCTGTTATATGCAACATAGTTCTTCAGWAATGTTTTTAAAGATCCTTTTACCTGGGTGGTCATTGCAGGAAGCTAATTTATTTTTCTTGTACAGCACCTTGCCCCAGGCCTAGCTGTGGTAACACAGCAAGCAGAAAATGGCAGCAGCTTAACCCAAAGGTGAGCTACAAAGGGACTGAGGACTGCAAATGTTAACGTGGAGAAAAAATGGAAAATAAGGATGATGGCATTCACTGAGCCACTGAAAAATGCACCCTTAGAGTAAAGAACCTCTATCCCAGTCGTAAAGAAATATTCYATCTTTTTTTTTGTTGTTATTGATAGTTTTGTCTTGCTCTCATTCTCTTCCCAAGACAACCACAGCAGGAAGAAGAAATATAAGGCAGAAATTATGTCTAATTCTAATATTTGTTTGAAAAATAAACATAACTAGGAAAGGAATCAAGTAGAATGATTGATTCTTGTTAGATCAATTGGCTTCAAAGAGGAGTTTCCTAGATCTTTCCTCCATTAAGAGGGTAAAACCTCTTAAAAACTTGCTCTAATATGCATCTGTCCTTTTAAAKAATTTTTTTTAATAGATCTTAGATATTTCTCTTTATTAAGATAAATCCRGTATACCCTAGAATTCCTATACAATGAACCATCCTGTTGTGTTTATCCTGACGGTGTGGTCAGCACGATGTCCCACCTCTGGCATCATCTGACATGTTACTGGTGAGGAGGTTTAGGCCAAAAACTCAACAGAGAAAACCACATGGTTCCAAGCACTTTTTGAAACAAAGAGCTGAATCTCATGCATAAAGGAATGGTTTTCCTGAAGAGTTTCTACTGTAGTCAAGAATAGTCAAAAATGAGATACAGATAGATTTACATTTTTAAAAAGCATAAGATTTTGGTGGTTTGCCATTTAAATTGTCAACTGCTATATGTATTACATTTGTAAGACCCATTGGCTCCAACCAAAGGTTATTTAGGAGTCTGTCTGACTGTCTGAATTATGAAAGGACTAGGAAAGAGGAAGTGGGGGAAAAAAGACAAGCAATAGGATATCCATTAGTAAGATGACTAATAGTACTACAAATCTGAATTCCCATTTCTTTGGCCTCTTTCACAGAGATTTAAAGATAGTTGGCACAAAGGTTCAAGAAGAAAAGTGGAAAAAAAGGGACAAATCCTACAAAGGAAAGTCGTATTTACAATCCTCAGTATTTCTTCAGGTTCATTGTAAGTGATTTATGAGGTGCTTTTTTAATATTAAAGTTGTWCATAAGTTCACTGGGGAGATAGTCTATATTAGTAATGAACTAATTGTCAGACAACAAAATTTATTGTTCGTAGTTTCCAAAAATCTTGCAGTTTGGCTTTTGTGAGTAAAAATGAGGTCATATAACAAAGTCCTGACCGTGAGGAAACATGCACAGTCTTTTAGACCACAGGCAAATAAGATTAGTTCTATATCTCATGTGATGYTGAAAGGGATATCTTGCCTTGTCAATAATCATATTTAAAAGCATCTGATTTCCTTGTTTTTTTCCTGTATTTTCCTTTTTTATATATAAATGTTTCTTATTCCAATACTACAACTTCTCCTTGTTACACAGCTTGTAATTTCCTCAGCTTCAGTAATAAAAATAAATTATTATTTTTATAAAAGTTAATAAGAAAGTCATAAGCAAGCCAGATGAATCTGTGTAAATCAAGAACCATCAGGGTAGCACATTGCACTGCTGTTTCCTCAGCAGCTTTGAACCTTTAGAGCAAATCTCAGTCAAAAATCTAATACTAAAGTGAATAGCAAAAACTTCAGTTAATCACATCGGTTTAATTTGTGTGTGAGTTTTTCTTAAGCTAGTTTTTCATCTGGTCACAAATACCAAAGAAAAACAAATCTGTAAAAATGCACTCTGCAGAGATGCGTGTGTATCTAAGGAGAACTTGCAAAGTTTTCTACATTAGTCTGAAATTGTCTTTGAATGCCACAAGGCCCCATGCATCTACAGCTACTAATTTTCCSTATTTTATTGCTGTGAGAAGCAAAAAGGAAAGAAGAGGGGCTGTGTGGCTGGTAGCATTGCAGGAAATAGCCATTACTCGACTTCCAGRACACCCAGTACTGACCCAAGGAGCAGGCAATTCCTGAGCTCCTTGGATCTGCAAGGATCAGGGATGTCTGCTTGAGCGTGTTACCTTATGGCCAACTCAGGGACTCGGAATCTCTCTCTCTCTCTCTTGTGTTCATAAGACCTAACTTCTTCCCCATAACTGTAGCAAGCTCTTTAGCATTTGGAGAAAATTAAACTAAATACATCCTGCCAATGGCAAATACTCAAAGGACAACTTTTATTTTAATTACTGTAGACATAGAAAAAGAGTTCTTTAAGGAAGTCTGTCAACTAAGAGCTATATATAACTCCTGAGGAATTCCTTAGTGACTTTCTTGCTTAAACAGATTTCCTTAAAAATACATTTGTTTGCTGCATAGGCTGGAATTATTGTTAAATCAAATACTCATTTTACAAAGGTCTGATCTGACTCGTAGTGCTAACACAGCACATACTAAACACACATCTATCGGACAGTTTAGGTTTGTAGTATTGATCTGAAGAAATGACTGGGCATTACCGAGCTGATGCTTTTTATCCACCAAGAAAAGGGCCAGAATGAAGTGTGGACCGTTGCAGCTAAAGGACTGCGCTCTCATTGATTTCAGTACGCGTTTTTCCAGATCTGTTCTATTAAGTTCAGCAGCCTGTAGTGAGGGCTGTGACGTCTGTTGTAGGCAAAGAACAGCAAAGCTTGCCTGATCTGTTTGGAGACTCTGGTTTCAGTTCACTAACCCAGCAGAGCGGCGTGTGAACGAGCGGGCAGGGAGGAGGCTGCACGCGGGGCAAAGTCTGACCTTTCAGGGAAAAGAAAGTATCCTCTTGCCCGTTCCTTCCCTTCCAAACACATACTGCAATGAGTTTCTTTCTTAGCTTTGCACTGCCCTTATTTATTTCATAGTTTAGATATTATAAGAAATGATTTTGCTTCACYTCAGAATTGCTTAATTTAGGACAGAGTTGCCCAGTATGTATTTATTGTGGTAATGCTGCTGCTTGGTGATGGCACTGTACAGCATTCAGGCCTGGGGATGAATTCAGAGGTGATGGGTACCATAAGTTGAGGAAAGGGAGCCTTGAGTCTGTGTTAAGATAAATCATGAAGAGAAGGAACAGAAGAGGAAAGGCACCAAAGTAAATGGCACGTAACACCTAATCTAAAGCACGTTTCTCTCTCCTTCAGCACGCTTTTGCTGGTTTCTGTTGATTGCCTACATTATCTGGGGTTGAGATTTACAGGCCTGAGTATTAACTCCTAACAAAGCTTTAAAAATAGGCTGCATTATAAAAATATTTTTTAATCTGTAACCTACACCGCTTCCTACGCTCCCACTAAATTCATCCTATTGTCTCCCAAGAAGAATACCATGAATGTCCACCAGCCCCACAAGTATATTTGATACACCCGTGCTAGGGTAACAGTGCTAGATACCTTCTATTTGCCACTGCTTCGGTTCTATTTTAAATGTGTGCCTGTGTTTGCTCAGCAACTGAGCCTCCGAAACAAGAGAAAAAACATTAGTAACTTCTCCAGCTGCAAAAAGATTGCCAAAATAGGAAGACTTCCCTCGCTCTTCATTCAGTCCCTTTCTTAGCGACTGCAGCTCAGGATTAAAGAAATCCACAGAAGGAGGAAAGATTAACCTAGAAAAGGCGGACAGACAAGTGCTGGGTTCAGGGGTCGCTTCCCGCCTCCGCAGAGGCTCACGCGGCCTCCGCTCGCGCCCCTTTGGTTTCTCGCCCTGTCCTAGCGCCTCCAGCCTGAGCAGGTGACAGCAAATGGCTTCGTAGTGAATATACCTATGGATAGGGATGGATAAATATCGGTCGCTCRGGTCATCCTGCGACACGCGTTCAGCATAGCTGTGGGTGTGTGGTGTCACATGTGACAACGTGAAGCTTTTTTGCTTTGCCTTTTAAGGATGATGTGTTTTCTGCTCCTCCTTGACCAAAACATTCAAACAAATTCGAACAACCAATTTGTTCATTTGGCAATCTAATCTCTAAATCCAGTTCAGCACAGATTTAAGATTGTACATCCAGTTCCTTAAGCAATGTTTAGGTATTACCAATATACTGAAAGATAGATGAGCCATCCTCATGGTAATACAGCTTTTAACCTTTCCTCTCCTCTACCATGACGGGGGAGAATTACAGTAAATGATGGTTACCTTGTCTGCAGTATGGACAATTGATTTGACCTCACTGCATCTGATGCTCTAATGGACTTTGTGGCTGAATCCCTGGAGATATAAAATATGTCCAAGTGAATTGGGGCAGGTTAAAGAACGGGCCAGCTTTTCATGGCTGGCTCAGGCTGTAATAGATCTCCTGGTTGTTCTGCRAAGAAGATTAAAAATGATCAATATCCAAATCATTAAAAAAAGAGGTAGCTTCTGTAAATCTACGTTTTCTTCTTCTTTTTTTTTTTTTCCTCCTGCCAGACACTGGAAGGGGGAACCTGTGTTGATGGCGTGAGTTTCTATAACAAACGTTACTGTTTACCCTCCTGTAATATGTTCCCTTTTATATTAAGAACCAGACACTCAGGTGGCGTGAATCAGCACTGCTTTCCTGCAGCCATGCTTGTTTACACCATGACGACTCRGGCTTTAGGTTTGTATAATACAGATAAAATAACAATATTGTAACATTTCCTGGAGCAGAAAATAAAATCAAGGACAGATTTCAGAGGATGATGGCAAGGAACAAAACTCTAAATGTCAAGAGAGCTCTGTGGGCCACAGGGGCTAAGACAGAAAAAAAAAAAAAAAAAAAAAAAA